TCTATCTCGATGGCTTCTCTGATTATTCTGTTATTAAAATGTTCACTTTTGGCAATGGTTCTGGTATTTTTAAAGTCAATTTCATGTCCTGTGGCTTTAAGGTGTTGGACCAGGGAAGATGTTGGTTCCTCTTTTTTGACTGAGTTCTTATGTTCTTCAATGCGTGCACTTATTCTTCTGTTGGTTTGTCCGATGTATGTGGTGGGACAAGTGGTGCATGGGATTTCGTATACTCCTTGATTTTCTAATTCAATTTTATCTTTGGGGTTTCTAAGGATGGTGGATATTTTTCTGTTTGTGCAGAATGCTGTTTTGATGTTGTGTTTATGGAGGATCTTACTGATTCTGTCTGTGTGCCTTTTATGTATGGGAGGAGGGCTTTGCCGTTTTCTTGTTCTTTGTCTTGGATTTTAGTGGGGGTTTCTTTTTGGATTAGGTTTGTAATCTTATTTCTATGGAATCCATTGGATGTTAGTACATTGGTGAGAGTGTGTAGTTCGGGTTTTAGGTGTTGTTCGTCAGCTAAGCGTTTTGTTCTGGAGATGAGTGTCTTGGCTACAGAGTTGATCTGTGCTGGGTGGTGGTGTGAGAGAGCGTGCAGATAGCGGTTTGTGTGTGTTTTCTTCTGGTAGATGGTGTGTCCTAGGGAGCCATTGGATTTCTTGTAGACTAAGACATCCAGGAAGGGAAGTTGGTTGTTAGTTTCTGTTTCCATGGTGAACTGTATTTTGGGGTGTAGGCTGTTGAGGTGTGTGAGGAAGTTGTCCAGTTTTTCTTTCCCATGTGGCCAGATTATGAAGGTGTCGTCTACGTATCTGAGCCAGAGTTTGGGTTTGTGATCCGATTTTTCTAGAGCTTGGGTTTCAAAGTGTTCCATGTAGAGGTTGGCAATGACAGGTGAGAGGGGTGATGACGAATGGGACTTCGTCGAAACGTCGCCAAGACACTTTCAATTTTACGCGGGAGAAAACCCGAACAACCAAAGACCTACATACATACATACATACATACATACATACATACATACATACATATATCATAAAGGTAAAAAAGGATATATGCAGTGTTATCTTCATTTTAGATATCAAAAAGGTCTCTCTCTGTGTCTCTGTCCCTCTCTTTCTTTCTGCCCTTGGTCTGCCAGTCCTCTTCCCCCACTCTCTTTCTCTCTTTCCTCTCTCTCTCTCTCTCTCTCTCTCTCTCTCTCTCCTTCCCTCTCTCTTCCTCTCTCTCTTTCTCCCCCCCTCTCTCTCTCTCCGATTTTCTGCTCACCTGGCAAGCTGGCTTCAAGCTGTTCTCCAACAAGCTCAGAGGTAGGCAACCTCGGCTCTTTTATGACTCATGGACTTCAATTCCCAGAATTCCTGAGTCAGCATAGCTGGGCTAGCTAGCTCTCTCTCCCCTTCTTGCTTCCTGCTGAGACGCAGCAAAGGGAGGAGCCACGCCCAAAAAGATTTTCAGCTTGTCGGAGAACACAGTGAGTCCACTCTCTTTTACACACACACGCACGCACGCACACGCAAACACAGACTGAGAGAGACAGAGAAGCAGGGAAGCGCAAGTGCCTCTCTCTGCAAATGGCAGAGGAGGCTGGGAGCCACAGGGGAAGGCTCAAAGAGCTGCATGTGGCTCCGGAGCCGCAGGTTGCCGACCTGTGGTATATACAGACGGTGTTGAGCAGTGATTCCATTTCAGATGGTATTTTTCCATACAGCCTCAGATCGTCAATATAAAGGAGATTATAATAGTCCGGCAGATGTTTTTGATGTTTGATAGCCATGGCCCAATTATTCAGTATTGTTGACAGAGGAATCAATGCATTGAAAACAATAGTGGTGATAGTAAGTTCCTCGTCTCTTGTTATTAACTTCTACCAATCTACCATCATTGAAAAGCAACCGTGTCTTTCATTATGACATTGATCTTTACACAAAGCTTCTGATGTTTCTGTTGACTCCTCTTATTTCTTATTTTTATTGATTATCCAGTCATGTGGCCGGGAATTGAATGCCTTCTTGTAATCAATCCATGCTACATTCAAGTACATTCATATTTCTCTTGCAGTTTTCCAGAATCATCTTGTCAATTAGGAGTTGATCTTTTGTTCCTCTGCTGTCTTGGCAGTTTCTTTTTTGCTCGGATGGAAAGAACTTGTTTTCAAATAGATGCTGTTGGATTGCATCAGCTACCACATAAATTAATACTTTGAATGTCATTGGCAAGCAGATAACTGACCTGTAATTAACTGGGGCTGTCCCTTTCCTGGATACTATGTTTCCCTGAAAATAAGATCCACCCAGAAAATAAGCATGATTTTTAGTTTGTCCCTAATATAAGCCCTACCCCCAAAATAAGCCCACCATCTGTTAGGGCCCCTGCAGCCAGGCAACCTACCCTCCACCACCTGCCTCGTCTCACAGTGGCAGCACCAGCAGCTCCGTCCACCAGGAGCCCAGCCATTTTCCTGGTTTCTTGTGGTCACAACGGACCAGGAGGATATGCATTACACCGCTGCCACCACCATGAGGTGAGGCAGATGGAGGAGTGGAGCTGCCCCACATGCCCTGCACCTGCTTACCACAGGGCCCCTGTAGCCAGGCCAGTGACCTCCCCCCACCCATTCAATCACCCGGCTACCTGCCCACTTCTTTCCTTTCATTCCCCTCTGAGCCAAACTGCCATGCTATGGAGGATGGGGGGAGGCTCGATCGCCTTACCTGATTCCCCTACGCCATTTTGGAGATGGGTGGGAATGACAGCGAAAGGCCTCTGCCGCCACTGTGTCCACTTCTGGAGGGGCTTTTTTTGGTCCTCACCAGCTGCAGGGCCCTGAGGTAAGCGGTGCAGGGTGTGTGGGGCAGCTCCATCCCCCCATCTGATTCACTTCAACTCTGATGGCGGCACCGGTGCACCGTGCAGCCTCCTGCCCCATTGCAGCTGCGAGCAACCATACCGTGGGATGGACGGGGCAGGCTGCCACAAAATAAGACATCCACCAAAAATAATTCCTAATGGGTCTTTTGATCCAAAAAAACTTATAAAACCCAGTCTTATTTTGGGGGGGAAACGGGTAGTTCATTATCAGGTAGCTTTTGCCAGATGTTGACCACTTTTCAATTTCACCTTCTTGCAATATGTTGTTAAATTATTTGGCAACAAGTGGTGTAGATCAATCAGATGTTTCAATCAAAAACCATGCAGTTCATCTTCACTTGATGCTGACCAATTCTTAATTTTCCTTGCTCTTTTTTCTACCAATTCTGCTGTTATTACAAGTTCTTTTATTTCAACTTTTTTTTTATTCTTATCCCCCTCTTTCAAGCAAGCTCCATTGTTATTGTATTACTTTGGGCAATTCCATTTCTGTACCCAGAATTGTACTATTTCTTCCTTGTCCAGTACTGACTGATTCACTGCAGTTTTTCCATTGATGGATTGGACTTTTTGGACTTGATTCTTAATAACATATTATTATATATTATTATAATAATAATACATATTATTATTTCATTGTTTTAAACATCTTTTCTTCCAATAGTTCTACCACTGCTGGCTCTGATTGCTCAGCCAACAATCTTGAATTCTGTAGCCCATTTCTCTCCAGATGTCTAGGAATTCCAATACCTAACATGGTCTAATTGACCTGCGCAACAACTGAGCCAGTATGGATTTCTGTAATTTATGTCTCACCATATTTTATGGGAGTGACACTCTTTCTTTGATTCCTGTGATGAGACTTGTCCAGTATAGTTGAAATAGCTCTCATCTTTCTCAGAGCACACAAGTCCCACAATCACATCAAGGTAGTGCCTCACTGGGGGTTGAGCTTATTAGTATACCATCAGCATTGTTACCATTTTCATATTTATGTCTTCTTATCAATCATGGGAAAGTGTGACCAACTTCACATTCTCCAGATATTTCACACTGTGCAATAGAGATTTGTGTCTGCTATATCTGACTGTACCAAGATACATGAAGCTCTGCTGCATGTTTTGTGCTTATAAACATTATAAACATTATTTCCTTAATTGAGATTTATAAGGCAGCTGCGTAATTTTTGAAGTGATTGTTTGTGCATCATTGCATATTGAATATGTTTTCAACATACAACCATATTAGAGTCTACCTATTACAGTCGTATGTTGTGATAGTCATAAATTGAGTCAGTCACATGACCTGATTTTATGACCTATTTTGTAGCAATCATTAAACAAATGTGGTTATTAAATGAATGTGGCAGTCATTAAGTGAAACCATTGTTTGTTATGGGGTGGTTTTGCCAAAAGCGAAGTCATTTTCGTTTTGGCAAAATCATTGTAAAGTGCAGTCACATGGCTGCAAGACACTGAAAACAGCAGTAAATCCAGCTAAGTGTCTGAAATGCAGTCACGTGACCAGTGGCAACCATTGGAACTGGGTAGTAACTTTCTTGTTCCAGTAAGTCATAACTTTGAATGGTTGCTAAGCAACCAGTCGTAAGTCATGATACATATATTTTTGCCTTATTAAAAAAGTACTCAGCTGCTTTTATCCCATAAGTTTTGTGCCACCAGTTCACAATAACTCATAAGAATACTCACCTCTATTTTTAGGAAGAAAAAAGTTAATATGATTCCTTTTGCTACATTAGTTATTCTACTCATTCAGCTTGATGATATTCATTATCAGAGTTTAGAGGGAAAAGATCTTAAAATTTGAGCTGTAATAGAAATAATTTTATATACTATCTTGATATCTTCTTCAAATAAGCTGTATTATTGATAAATTCCTGAATCGATACATAGATTTCATTTTTTTTTTCAATCCATTTTATTACATTGCTTCCATTATAGAAAAGAAAAGTACCATAGTAAACTTGGCATTTTTTTTTTCACTTACAAGCTTTGGTTCCAAAAAGTATATAACAGAGAAATCTTACCTTTCTCTTTCCCCTTCCTCCATTTTGGTTTTGAATGAATCTGAAGACAATGATTTATCTTTTTTGAATTATTTTGCAGACTAATTTAGGATTGACTCTACCTCGTGGATATTGCAGATACCATTTCAATTCATTGAATGGCTGTGAGAAGCCAAACTGCTGGTTTTCGCATGTTCTTATATCAAGAGATGATAAGGTAAAATATTTTCTATTTCAGTATAAAATACTTTTATACTGAAGTATTTTATACTGAATTTTGATGGCTGTATTTGTACAGCCATCAAAATCACCATAACTGTTTGTCTTTTAACAGATCATTGATATAATTACTGAATGTTTAAGTGCATTTAATATTTGTTGATTTGGAGAAAGTGTATGATAAAAGTGAATAGATTTCAGTAAAATATTATAAAGTTGGATATTTGCTGCATGCAATATTAGAATAAAAAGAACCAAATATAGTTCAGCTTTAATTTAATGTATTTATGATTTGCTATATAAGAAATGTCTTCAAGCATGTTAGAGATTTGTTGAATATATAAAATGCTAAATACATAATGTATACCTTTATAGGTGAGAACTTGGATGTAGATTTTTTGATTCAATGGAGAGTTTGCATCTGAAATGCACTGTACCATTATTAAAGTGTAAGATAATTACAGCAAGAAAAATAAAATGAATTATTACAAACACAAAAAATGAAAAAATAAGAGCAAATAAATATGTATCTTAATACTAATTTATTAAATTTATATGCTGACTAACTACTAGCAACTTTGGTTAGTAATTTTTTATTATCATTCTTAGTTGAATATTAATAAAAATGGGAAAATCAAAAAAGTTTAAAGAGAAGCTTGCACTGTTGCAAGAAATTAATGTCAAAATATTTGAAAATGGAGCATATAACAACATATATTCCTATCCACTTTGTTATATGGAAATGAGAATGGCTGTGTCAGAAAAGAGTTGAATGCAGTGGGAATGGATTACTTAAGAACTGTGCAAAGTAAAATGAGATAGGGCTATAAATGTATGTAAATACCACACAGAAGTGCACTTAAGTAAATTTTAGTCATTCAGTCACACAGAATGAATGGGGATTAAATCACAAAATACTATAAAAAATAGTGAATAGGATGAAAGGAAGGGAATTTGATCCATTTGATGGAGTTGATTCTCAGGAGAGAGATTATATGTTAAATGTAGGTAAAGCAATATATAAATCTGTGAAAATGGTGGAAGCAAGGATGATTTTCAAATTATGGTGTGATTGGTGTTGGTGTAAGTAGATTTGATTTTTTTTTTATTTCTTGCCACTACATTTTTGCTAGTTACTGGTTAACTCTTCCTGTACTTTTCATAACATTGCTAAGGGGAAGAAGTCTTTCCAAACTATACTGATTTGTTTTGCCTATTAACTTATTATAGCATTTTACCATCATCAATTTGCCGTCTCTCCACACATCATTCGTAGTGAAGCGTGCAAACCAACATCTACATCTCCTGCATCTTTCTCTTTCTGTCCTAGCCACTTTTTACAGAGGCACAGAGAGCATTACAGAGAGCATTTTAACAAACTGCATTACTGTTTGGTTTGCTGGTAGCAATGCCTCAGATAGAAGGTCCACACAGAGAGTGGTAAGGAGAGCCGATAAGATTATAGGCAGCTAGACTTCCGGTTTCGGATCGCAGCGCCTCTAGTCGCACGAAGAGACTCGTCTCCTCATCAGTTAGCTTCCCTCCGCCGGTAGGGAAGCTGGAGGGTGCGACTTCCGTCGACAAGGCTTCGCTCGGCTGCGGAGGAGTGGCGGCTCCTCCAGCTGTCTGAGCAAACTTTGAGGGCCGATGGAGAAGAAGATTGGCCAGTAAAATGGCCGATCACCTAGCCACTCCAACCGCAAGTCAAAGAACATCTAAGCATTAAGAACCACAGTGGTGAACCCGGGAGAGACTTTTCCCTTGCTCCTCTCTTCATTCTATCCTGCTTTTTTTTTTTTTTTTTTGCCTGTAAGAGCCTTGTTGGAATTATTTCCCTACCTTGAAAAAGCAGCTTCTGTATGTCTGGGAAGAAAGGCGTTGAACAAAAGAATAGAACAAAATTTCAGAGACTATACTTTATTCTTTGGGGTACAGAAAAAACTCTTTCCTAAGAGCTGTACTATTATTTTATGCTGGAAGATTCTTTTTCCACATTTTATTTTAAAAGATAGAAAAAAGGGGGGGGAAATGGTGTCTGGAAAAGATTTTTTTTAATCTATTGAGGGCATCTAGTGGCGAAAACCTAATACTGCAACTTCTGGCTATACTTTGGAGATGGAATACTTGACCTTCAAGTTACTTTTGAACAGAAAAGATAAGCTGATGCAGCTGTGGGAACTGTCGGGGTGGATACTGCTTAACTTTTATTAAATACAGCCTCCACAAAAAGAAAAAAGAGACTCTCTTCAATTACTATTAGTGGAGAAATCTTATTCACAGTTAAACTGCAAACTTATATTGGAAAAGATCTAAGGCTACTGCAGAAATATGTGTTACAATGAAAGAGTTTACTACAGAATTAAGAACCAGAAGTTTTACTTCAAACCTTCAAATTGATCTCCAGACTATATCTGACCATTCTATAAATCAGCAGTTCTCAACCTGTGGGTCGTGACCCCTTTGGGGGTTGAATGACCCTTTCACAGGGGTCGCCTAAGACCATTGGAAAACACATATTTCTGATGGTCTTAGGAACCGAGACACTGCTCCTCTATCCGTCTCCAGGCGGATAAAAACAACAAAGAGAATGGTAAGACTTAAAGCATCAAAGGAGCAACTCCCCACCTCTCAGGTAGAGCTAGCAAAAGCCAACAACTCAGCCCGCCTTCTCCCAGCCTTTTCACCAATCAAAAGCCGCGGCCCAGACATTGGCGTCTGTGACATATCTTCCCGGGGAATCTTGAAGCCGGCAAAGCTGCTCCAGATTGCGCTTGTGTGCAGTCGCTCATGCCTCTGTGGAAGAGGGGAGACGGGCTTGCGGGGAGTTGGGTGAGGCAGGAGGAAGAGGAAGGAAGGGTTGTTAGCTGTGGAATCAGCACGCCGGAGGGCTTTGCCGCGGGGTGGGTTCCTTTTGTATTTTGATTCCCTCCCTTTTGGAGGGGGAAATGGACATTTTATGATCTGAGGGGGGAAAAATCTTGGTGTCTGTGAATAAAAGCGCCGGCAATTATCTTTTCTTTCCGCCAGTTCGCCTTGATGCATTCAGTGCAATTGCTGTTTTAAATAGCACTTTTGGATTGTATTTTTTAAAAAAGCTTAGCTTTTTTTAAAAAAAACCTGGGGTTGGTCTCTGCTCTTGTGTGAGGAGGTTGCAAGCACCTTAATTGAGTCTCCCCACCCCCATCCGTGGGATTTTCCTCGGGGTTGCTAGGATCTGCGTTTAAACTTAGAATTGCCTGGCTGCAAGCAAAGAGAAGGGAGTTGGCACGGGCGAGAAAGCCAGCAAGCCAGCCTGCCTGCCTGCCTGCCAGCCCAAATTGCGAGCTTCCCTTCGCCTTTTTCGTCGTGAATCGGGAGCAAGCCAACCTTGGGATTTTCCCTCCTCCCGCCTTTAAACGGTTTCCTTTTATGCTGCCTCCCACCTGGTCGGGATCCAAAGGCGAGGCTCCAATTGGGGAAGTGTATACTCCACTGCCAGAAATTGTTAGGAAAAAGGAAATGAATTGAGAGAGGACTTGTCAGAAAACATTTAGATGAGAATCAAATACGCTCAGTAGAAGGTGAAAATGTTGGAAGGAGGGAATGAAATAGCTGGAATCTGGGACAGCTGTAAAGTAGTATCCTTCTGTTTTGGGAAACTTCCATGAAAAAGTAGTCCTGTAACTCCTCGCTTCATCCACAAAATGTTACAGGGGTTCTGATTTTTTATTTATAACCCTTTTCCTTTCTTCCATTCTCTTGCTGCTTTTCCTTCAATTGGTCATGTGATCAAAATGTGGATGCTTGGCAACTGGCCTGTATTTATGACAGTTGCAGTGTCCCAGGATCATGTGATTATTTTTAGCAAACGTTTGACAAGCAAAGTCAATGGGGAAGCCAGATTCATTTAACAACTGTATTCCTAACATAATAACTGCAGTGATTCACTTAACAACTGCAGCAAGAAAGGTCATAAAATGGGTGCAACTCACTTAACAACTGCCTTGCTTAGCAACATAAATGTTTGGGCTCAGTCGTGGTCGTAAGTTGAGGACTACCTGTAGTTGTGGAATTCCTTTTGTTGGATGGGTCTATCTTCTAGAGTCTGATCCTGCATATCATATATTTACATTACGATTCATAACAGTAGCAAACTAGATTGTGTTGTTTCTCTGTGTCATAGAATATATGTGGATATCTGGGTATATGCATTTTTTTGGTATATTTATGTAGTGTATGAGGGGTCTTTGATGCTCTCTAAACTTGCTTGTTTTCTTGCAGGTGTTTCATTACCCTAACTAGGTAGCATTATCAGTGCTTATATATGCTTATATAGTGTATATTGGAGGTGGTGACCCTTTGAAAGCTGTATGCAATGAAATTTCATTTTAATGTATGCTGATTAGTGTACATTTAAAGTGACAAAAAAGTTATTCTGTTCTGACTTCCGGTTTGCTGACGTGGCTGCCACGGATGTTTGAAAGGTGAACTCCATCTTCCATGCCCGATTTTGCACCACTGGGGGACCCTGGAAAGGTTTGAAAGTCGCCCTGTAAGGACGACCAGCAAGGAAGGGGATCCCCGTTTAATTGCAGGAGGGGAGCAGAAATATGGCTCATCACTAGGCTGCAGACAGCCGAAGTCAAATTTACCATCAGGCACCTATTAATGAAGCATGGATGAGACTGAATAAGATCTACCTCTCTTTAATCCTAACTATTTTTTCCACCTGCACAAGCTGCCCCAAATACTTTCCTCCCTGTGGAGAGGCAAGGGAGAGTCTGTCCCACCCTCTAAAAACAGTGGCGACTGACTAATCCAGGGGAGTTTTAAATGTTGCAAGAATAACTTGGTTCTAACTGGATTTTTATCTTTTTAAAATTTGTAGACTAAAAGATTTTTTATTCTTATTGAAGAGCTGGGTTTTTACTTACAAAAAGAAGTAAAATTGGAAAAAGGATTATAAAAATTTTGGACTTAAAAGAAAACTCTAAATAGTATGGGCGACATCTTGTGGCTAAACCTGATACTACAACTTGTTATTGCTTAAAAAAGACTTGGCTTGAAGCCCAGACTATAGATAAGACTTTTGTAACCTTGACAGATATCAGCTGTGAGAAGCCCAGCTGTGACAAAAAAAAAAAATCATTCTCTGATTGTAAAGCTTTTAACTTAACACACTACTAAGAGAACATGGATGAAGATCAGGAACAGATTCTCTTTATATTGAAAGCAATTTATGAAACTATTCTTACAGCTACTGATGAAATAAGTTACAGAAAAGAACAAGATGTCAGCCTAGATATACGAACTCAAAAGTTGATTACAACTAAAAAATCAACTACACAGAATATAATAGAAGAAGTGGAACAATTAAATACTATGATAGAAGATTCAACTGATCAACAAACACAGTTAATGGAAAACCCAGAAAAGGGACTGACAACATGGAAAAAGTAAAAAACTTTCTTTATAAACCAGAAGAAACCTGAGGATCAAAAAGAAGCAGACTGAAGAGAAGATAAACAATTCAGGAAAACTACGTCAAGATGGAAAAACAGAGATACGATTTGTTAGTCCTTTAAAAAAAATGGTGACCGGATGGTTTTTTCTACTTCAAACAATATACATAACAACATTGGGAGTTTTATTTGATGACTTAAAAGCATGGACATGGAAGATGAGTTGGCAAAGAAAGAAAGCTAGAATAAGACTGAAGAAAATTGGGGTTTTGACATCAGTGAGAATTAAAATAGAACATACTCAAATAGATAAGATGTGTATTTTGAATACTAGATTTTGTTATGAGCTGAGATAAAGAAAACTTTAGTCATTTAAAACTTGGAAGTATAAATGTTAACAGTTAAATTTCAATATTGATTTGCTTATAAAAGTTGAATGTAAAAGTAATTAAGATATATATAAGCTAAAAATCTATTGATGGATGTAATAAATATGTTTTTACTAAGCTGTTACAATAAAAACTATTAGCTCAGTGGTTCTCAACCTGTGGGTCGGGACCCCATTTGGGGCCGAACGACCATTTCACGGGGGTCGCCAAACAACGCAATCCGCCATTTTTCCCCCTTTTCCTTTGCTGTGCTACTCCCTTTACTCCCTTGAATAGAGTCTAATTCTATTGGCTTTCAAAAGCCAATAGGAATTGTCCAGGCTGTCTCTGCCCTGCTGAGCCCGCCAAAAGTCCCATTCTGCAAACGGTGCTGCACCAGTTGAGTAGTCCTCGACTTACGACCGGTTGAGTAGTCCTCGACTTACGACCGGTTGGGGGGTCGCAGCATTAAAAAGGTTGAGAACCACTGTATTAGCTTAAATATGAGATAGTAGACATCAAGAGAAAAAAAGAGGAAGTATTAAATGTTGAAATAAGAAATTTTGGTTACTAAATTTAAGATATTTGGAAATTAACAGAAAATAAGAATGTTATACTGTATTATTAATTAGTTGATGTAAGATGGTGAGAAATAGAATATATTTAAATAGGTAAGAGGTATATCCTGAACATTAGATTTTGTGATGAATTGTGATAAAGGAAACTGGTTATTTAAAACTTGGAAATTATAAACATTAAATGTTAAATTTAAATATTAATGGGAAACTAAAAATTGGGAAAAACTAATTAGGACAGTGAGTGTCTATAAAGTTTGAATGTTAAAATAACTAGGAGATGTATAAACTAAAAATTATTGATAAATATAAGAAAAATATTTTTATTTAATCAATATAATAAGAATTGTATTAGTTTAAATATGAGACATAGGAAAGGGGAAAAGAGGAAATATTTAATGTAGTAGTTTGAGACCTGTACTAAAGATACTTGTATGTTATTGAATTATTGATTAACTCAGCCACTACGTTGCTTTTTAAATAATTTAAATATAAAACTAGAAAATCAATAAAATTTACTTTAAAAAAAGTTGTTCTGTTCTGTTCTATCATATTTTTTACTAACTTTTGGCAGAGTCTCTTGTAGGGGAAGAGACTTAAATTTTGCTGGGGGGGAGTTACGCCCATCTTCACCTATCTAGACAAATAAACTGTAATGGGACTTTGGTGTGGTCAGTATAATTCTATGTTTGATCATAGAGGAGTCAGATTCTGGAATTTTCTCAATTGTGACGTTATCATTAAGGAAGATAAGCTAATTTTACTTGTAAATAAATAATTATTCTGTGTATCATTTTGGGGTTTTGCCAAAAATAATAGCAATTATGGTGTTTTTTTGCCAAAACCAATTCAAAAGGAAACAACACACTTTCTTTTCCAATACAAAAAAAAGAATTGCTCAATTGACATACTTCTTGCATATATCAGTGGTGTCACTGCTTTTATGTGAGAAAATCAATTAGAAAAAAAAGAGAAAATTATTTATTTCCCAAATTTCTTTCATTCCTGTAATGGCTAGTCTGCCTTATTTTTTCTTCTTGAATTGTGCAAGATATATCTTGTTAAAAATAAATCACTTGCATGGAATATTGAAGAAAAAAAGAGAATTCTTTGTCTGGAGAAAGTTTAATAGAGAAAAGGAGAATGACAGTCCTTTCTCTTCTTATTGAGATTTTATAATAGGCATCGCACTAAACTTTTGCTTTCAAAAGAATAATACTCGTCTATTTCTTGACTTTTATGTACATGCCATAGAACTTTAGAAAAGGAAAAATGAGGGAAATAAGAATGATGTAAAATACATAATAGTTCTTTGCAGACAAAGTTTGGGAATAGAATTTCTGAGTACTTAAATATCATAGATATTTGAATATTATCAGTACATAATAACACTTTTCCAAATTTGCTTTTATTTTGTTTTACTATACTGGAATTGATCTATCTATTTGAGAATTTTCTAGATTCCATTTATAGAGAATAATGTCCTATAAATATCATTGGAACAATATCCATATAAGCATGGTTTGAATTGTATCCTCTAAAAATAATTAGTTTATAATAAATGTATGATAATAGAAGAAAATGATATGTTTTCTTTTGATTTGTACTATTTGAACCCTAAAGTAAATACATAAATTTGCACTGTTTCTTTTTTTGTTTAGCAAAGAGTAATAACTTTGTGATTTGATTTTTATTTATTAGCTTTGCAGTGAAATAATTAAGAAATATATAAGCATTGGTGGCATAGTTTTGCTGCAACGGGCAGGTAATATAAATTCATCATTACTACATACCCAATATGTTGAGCCTGAGATTGATGTGTGCTGATTTTCAGAATATAATATATATTAATAGATAAAGAATAATCCTGATATTACACTAAATCCACTGAGTAAAAATCAAATCAGTCAGATTTGACCTAGATCCATAAAGCTGAAACCAGTGTATAGTTTTTAAATCTTTATCCTAGCATAGTATAGTAGTTCACAAATAATAGGAAATTAGGATTTAACAGGTTACCAAGTTCCTAGTCATCATATTGGTAATCAGATTAGTATGTACACTCTAAACTTATATAAATCTTCAAGCAGTTATCCAAAGATAATCCTTTTACATCAGAACTAGAATTCCAGCTGAAATAAAATGTGTTATGGCATTTTATAGCATTTTTAGCAAGAGCTTTTGGAAAGTTTTTAGTTTATCAACCATGAATATTTAAAACAGTATGTAGAGGTTTTAATCCTAAAAACAAACATTACTATGTTTAATAAGTAAATCTACTTTCCTCAATGGAAATTGGCAAAAAAAGGTCACAAATTTGATCATGTGACCTTAGAATGCTGCAACAAGTTATAAATGTGAGACACTTGTCATATAACCAAATTGCTATCACTTGACTCCTGGGATGGTGCAATGGTTTGCAATGGTCATACGTCTGATTATAGATCCTTTCTGAGAATATTGTAACATTGAGCCATCATGAAACAAAATTGAGGATTATCTCTAAATCATTTTAGTAATAAATTACTTAAATAATGCATGTGTTCACCTTTAAATTTCCTGTTTTCTTTAGTACATATATTCACAAATTACTGCAAAGAAGGTACTGCTGTATATCACTTGGATTCGCAAATGTTCCATGATCTCCTAACATCTTTGCTTCAGTTCTCTTTGCTGAAAGAACTTTTTCATGTAATACACACTGGCATCAGGATTAAAATATTAGTAAGTGATCCTTCACATTCTATAAATCCCAATGAATTTAGCGGAACCTACTCTTAGATAAGTGGAGTAAAATAGTAATATAAACATTTTCTGATTAGATAATGATTAATCATATATACATGCTGTTTGGATTTTGGATTCCTGTTTAGCTGTTGATCTAGTTTAGAATTCCCATGGTAGTCCATTGAATTTCTTATGATATTATGCCAAAATGGATCTGAAAACAATGTAGAGGTGGTAGATATGATTAGTTTCCACAGGATCATATTGCCTGATCTTTAAAATTCTGTCTGTGATAATTGCATCGGATTTGAATTCAAGCCATTTCATAAGTGGTAATATTACATCAGGGCATATCTAAAATCTTTTGAAGTTGTGCAAATGAGAATCTTTAAATGGATTATATTTTACATTTGCTTATCTTTTTGTAAATTTAATATTTTTAAATATTAAAGTTTTTTTTCCTTAGCCAACTATAGACATTCTACTCAAAATGTTTGAAGAAGTGGCTTCTATGAAAGTAAAAGAGGCAGTACCTGAATTATCTGACATCTTTTGTAAGGTATGATTTGGATTATTTAATTTCTTCCTAAAAACTTTGTTTCTAGAAACTCCATTGTCAATATTGCTATAGTCTCCGTGAGAAAATGATACATTGGGGATAATCTCACAAATAACACTTTTTATTTTTATGGTGTCTCATACTAAAGAATAAGAACAGTAATGTTTTAGACTTCCGGTTTGCCATGGACATTAGGGAGATAAGCTTTGTCTCCCCCGTCCTGTTTCGCATCGCTGGGGGCCCTTGAAAAGGGTCGAAAGTCGCTCCGTAGAGGTGACCAGCAGGGAGAGGGTCTTGCTGGATCACAGGAGAACAGTAGATCCCCTGCTAGAGCCGGCGAATCCCTCCAAACCGGCGGACGAAAGACTGGCCATAGAAATATGGCTCGTCACTAGGCTGTAGACAGCTGAAGTCACACTCACCATCTGGCAACCTCAAAGCAGGAAAGGACTGGGTGAGATCTACCTCTCTTAAATCTTAATTGCTTTTTCATATCTATTCAAGCTGCTAAAGTACTTTCCCCCCTGTGGAGAGGGAAGGGGGATTTTAGCCCTCCCTCCAGAACAGAGGTTCTCAACCTGTGGGTCGCGACCCCTTTGGGGGTTGAACGACCCTTTTACAGGGGTCACGTAAGACCATCGGAAAACACATATCTCCAATGGTCTTAGGAACCGATTGGCGTGGCTCGAGCCCGATTTTTGAAAAGCACTCAAATCAAAGGCGGCGATGTCACGAAAGCAAAGGTGGCGGGGGGCGGGAGAGGAAGAGTCAGCGAGCCCCAGCCAGTAAGTAAGCCGAGCCAGCCAGCTGGGCTGAAAAGAAAGAGCGGGGTCTCCCAAACCCCAACTTTTTTCTCCCTCTCCTTTCCTTTGCAACTTGCAAAGGAAAGGGACCCCCAGACTGAAGCCAGGGAAAGCTGAAAGCTTTGCGCGGGGTCCCGATTCCCCTTTGCTCCACTACCAGCACTGCCGCCAGACCAGCCAGCTGCTGGGGAGAATTTCCCTTTTTTTCCCCTTCCCTCTCCTTCTTTTTTTAGTGCAAAAAAAAAAAAGTCCTAGTTTTTTTTTTTCTTTCCCTCTTCTCGGCTTTTTAAAAATAGCAGCCGGGGGATTTTCAAGCTAATAGTTGTTGCTGGGGCATTTTCTTTTTTTAAAAAAAGTCCTTCCCAGGCAGGGAATCTTTCTGCGCTTCTTCAGCTTTTCTAAGCCGGGGGAGGGGAGAGCTGATTGAAGGGGAGGTCCTAGGAAGAATGCAAAGACCCACCGGAGAGGTTTGGCTGCTTTTCTGTTCTAGCAGCCAGCAAGGAAAAAGCCCTGGAGGATCGGGTGTCCGGGTTTTTCAATCCCTTATTAATTAAATAGGCAAAGGCTTGGCCGTTTAATAGTTTGGTCACACTTTTTAACCTCCCAGATTTATTACCTTCAAATATCAATGAATAAATGGCATATTAAAAAAAAGAAAGAAGTAAATCATAGGAAGAGCCCGTTTAGGAACGCGAGAGAAATAATATTCAAGAGGAGAAGATCAGGTGAATTTGATGCCCCCTAACAGAAGGTGGGGAGAAAAATTGAAGAGCAGCTCTAAAGAAAGAAGGGGAAAGAGATTTAGAGGCCTAGGATGGTTTTGCAGAAAGAAAATCTGATCACCTATACGCCATCGCCCTTAGTTACACATCTACAGGAAGCAGACAGAAGGTGCAGATCTGGTGGTTTTGATTGATAGCTCCTCACATTGTTGGGCAGCTTTAATAGAATTTATCCCTGGCCCCTCCAATATGCAAAAGAGGGGAGGGGGGGTTGTCAAAAGAAGGAAGCATACCCAGACTTCTGCCAGATTCAGACTGTGTGATCCCCCTCATTTTTTCCAGTCCAGGCTTTCCCCGCCTTACTTTTTCTGCAGAGAAAAACCAAGCCGACTTTTTTCAGAAAATAGTTTCTTTCCATCAGGAAGAGAATGTAAAATGAGAAAAAGATCTCATTTCAGGAAAAAAAACCCTTTGGAGAGGTCTGAGGGTTTAAGATTGGGAGGCTTTTGTTGAAATTCCCTCTCCACACACCCCCCAGCCAAATCTATCCCACCTGGAGACCTATACCTAAGGCAGAATCTCTTTATCCTTGAGGATTCCCTGGTTAATTTCACATTAACCCAGTTGGTCTCTGTCCGGGACAGGATCCTGCTGATTCTATTTGTGTTATTTGCTAAAATTATTGGCCATCATTTTAGGCTTCGGGGTTTTTTTCTTTTGCAGGGAGGGGATTAGATGCCTTGCAAAGCCAGCCCTCTCCCCTGCTTTAGTTTACTGTTGGATGCATTAAACCAGCGGTTCTCAACCTGTAGGTTGGCTTTTTACGCATACTGTCATAAAATGTAGCAATACTGTTGTTATAGTAAGACTGTTACCCATGCTACACCATGCTTCAAGACAAAATTTCATTTATTTGTAATTAGAAATAAATATTTCACAATATATAATTACATATTGTTTTTGTGATTAATCACTATGCTTTAATTATGTTCAATTTATAACAATGAAAATACATCCTGCATATCAGATATTTACATTACGATTCATAACAGTAGCAAAATTACCATTATGAAGTAGCAACAAAAATAATTTTATGGTTGGGGGTCACCACAACATGAGGAACTGTATTAAAGGGTCGCGGCATTAGGAAGGTTGAGAACCACTGCTCCAAAAACAGCGGCAATTGAATGTACAGGGCAGTTTTGAAATGTTGAAAAAATAATTAGATCCCAATTGGAACTTTATTTCCTAAAGCTTGTGGATTAAAAGATTTTCAATTATCTACTTTTTATTTTATATTTTTATTTGAAAGTCTGGGTTTTTCCTCTTAAAATAGAAGAAAAAAACTGAAGGATTAAAATAATTTTGAGATTTAAAGAAATTCCTTAAACAGTGTGGGGTGACATCTTGTGGCTAAACCTGAAATTGCAACTTGTTATTCTTAAAGAAAAGAGACTTGGCTAATAGTTCAGAAAACAAGATAAGATTCAAGTAACCTTGAAACCAGCTGTGAGAGTTTTAGCTCTGTTTCTTATTTACTTGGGGGGGGGGGACTGTAAAAGTTTTCAATTAAACTCATCACTATGGAAGACCAGGAACAGACCTTTCCTATGGAAGAAATACAAAAACAAATTTTTGCTATATTGAAAATAACTTACCAAACTCACCAAACTCTTCTTACAGCTGGTGATGAAATAAGAGCTTTCAGAAAAAAACCAGAAAGCATCTTAGATATGCAAATTCAAACTTTGACTATAATTAAAAACCTTTATATACAGAATACAACAGAAAAAAAATCAAACAATTAAATATTATGACAGAAGATCTAACTGCCCAACAAGTACAAACAATAGAAAATTTAGAAAAAAAATTGACAACGTGGATGGAGGAAAAAACCTGCTATATAAATCAGAAGGAATTTGAAGATCAAGAAGAGAAACAAATGCAAGAAAAGATAAACAGTTCAGGACAACTATGTCAAGAGGAGAAAATAAAGAGACGATCTGGTAGTCCTGCCAGACCCCTCAGGCTTCCAAAAATGGCGACTGGATGGTCATCTCAATATGACATAATATATACAGTAATACAAGAATTCTTTGAGGACCCTGAAGCAAGGACATGGAAGATGATTTGGCAAAGAAAAAAAGCCAGAATAAGACTGAACAAGAATGGAGTGGGGACATATTTAGGAGATTTAAAATAGATATATCTAAGTAGACAAGACCCATATTGTGAATACGAGATATTGTTATGGTGTGAAGATAAAGAAAAATGTTGACTAATTAAAACCTAGATGCATAAATATTAACAGTTAAATTGAAATATTGAGTTGTTTATAAAGGTTAGATAAAGGTGATTAAGACATATATGTTAAGAGTGATGTAACGTAATTAACATGTTTTGATGTAGTGATAAGAATAAAAATAATAAGCTTAAATATGAGAGTGGATATAAAGAAGAATGCTGAAATGGGAGAAATTTTGGTTATTGAATCTATAATATTTGGAAATTATAATGAAAATAAGAATATTATATTGTATTACTAATCTGTTGATATAGAAGTGAGATAGATATGTATCCAGAACACTAGATGTTGGGGAAAATTGTGACAAAGAGAATAGGGATCATTTAAAAATTTGGAAATAATAAATATTAAACGTTTAATTTAAATATCAACGCAAAATTAAAGCTGAGAAAATTCATAAGATTATTGATGATCCAAAAGATGAAATGTTAAAATAAATCATATAAAATTATTGATAAATGTAAGAAAGCTATTAAGTAGCTGATGGATAGAATAAGAAGTATACTAATTTAAACAAGAGACAGTATGTATTAAGGGGAAAAAGAGAGGAAATATTGGCTGTAGTAGTTGGAGATTTGTATTAATAATATTTGTATGTAATGGAATTATTGTAACTCAGACACCGTGTTGCTTTTCAAAGATATAATTGTAACATTGGAAAATTAATAAAAAGTTTTTTTTTTAAAAAAAAGGAACAGTCATATTTTTAGATTGATACCTATTTTAAAAATGGTTTACTGGCATTTTCAATTAAAAACGCATCTGGTATAAAATAAATTCCAAAAGATGGAGAAGGTTAAATGAAAACTACCATGTTTAAAAAGTACTATGTTTATTATACCTCAAAAATATAAGAAAGGAACACATTTTTGGAAATGCAATAGAAATATAGTAGAACCCATTGGAATTGGGCAACTAATAAATTTGAGTGAATAATAAATAAAAATATCATTGTTTGGTTTTGCTAAAATGGTAAATGCATGGAAGATTTGGTAGCAATTAATTTGAGTTAGGGTTGTCCGCCTAAAATTTTGGCATTTATCACCGGCTGTAGACTTTGATGGAGATTATGACGACACATTAGAAAGAAAGCAGTTGCTACTATTTTTCAACACTTTTATACATATAACAGAAATTTAAAAGTATACATCATTAACTGATACTACAGTTTGTTTATTGGATATAAAAATCTAATGGCTGATATGACTGTTTCATAGTAAACTATACTCTGGACATGTTAACAAAATAGTATTATCTTCTAGCTGTTGAGCCAGCCCCTGGTTAATTTAGCAGTATCTGGGTTTAGTATTTGGAACTATGAAAATGTTGTGATTCAGCTCTTAGCTTGATATCCCTAATCATAAATACATTGTTCATAAGAGCTTTTGACATATATTATCTATTTTTTCATATTGTTGTAAAGAATTTTGCAAGCACTTAATTGTGGAAATCATGAAAATGTTCTTTATCAATGGTTTTTTGTTAATATAGCTTATTGATGCTGGAATGGTTCTTGAACATGAACACATTAGACATATCACCAACTTATTAAACCAGTTACATGTTTCCAGTCAGGAAATTACTATGCTTATATCCAGGTATGTACTTTTTAATATGCTTTTAAAACTTCAAATAGATAAAGTTTTGAAATATCAATGCCCTAAAGCTGTAAAATATAAATCTGTACCAGCTATATTTGTTCATAAGTAATTAATTATTATCTTACCATGTTTTTTAACTTCATTGATACCTATTCCTCAATGTATGTACTGAATTGCTCAAATTCCCTCAATTTCAAGTGAGGGAATGCAGTGGCAAAATAAATAACTTGAAAATGAAAAATCTTTACTACCAAATTGCTCTATATAGTTTTGTATTCATGATCTTTGTAATATGATACTAACTGAATTTATAGATAGTTCTCAATTTACAACTACAATTGACAGCAAAATTTTGTTGCTAAGTGAGACATTTGTTAAGCGAATTTTGCCCCATTTTACGACCTTTCTTGCTATAATTGTTAAGTTAGTAAGTTAGTAACATGGTTGTTAAGTGAATCTGGCTTCCCCATTGCCTTTGCTAGTCAGAAAGTCGCAAAATGTGACCACATGATTCTGCCAAGTATCTGAATTTTGATCATGTGACCATGGGATGCTGCAATGGTCATAAGTATGAAAATTGGTCATAAGTCACTTTTTCAGTGCTGTTGTAACTGTGAATGGTTACTAAATGAACTGTTATAAGTTAAAGATTAGCTATAGTTGATCATGCCTTAAATATTTATTCACAAATTTTCTATGCTGCTAGACTCCACAATGATGCCCATTGTTTCCAAAATTAAATAAAAACATAACAAGCAATAAATAAGCAGTTTAAATTTTAAAAATACCATTGGCATTAATCTTGCTAGTGATTATACAGATCAAAGGTTCTACGAAACAGCATTATTTAATGTCATTCCTAGAGGATTTAAAAGAAGGAACCAACTGCATCCCAAGGGCAAAGACCATCTGCTCCAAAATTAAGAGATTGCAGCAGATAAAACATTGCCTCTAGAACTTTTTCCATCAATCTCTTGAATAGAGGAATTATTAAACATCCATTTACCAAATAAATGTATAAAATGAACTAGTTCTAATTAAAGAAGACAGTTCAGAAGGTAATCCTCACAATGATCCAGAAAGATATGATAGATGGCACTGAATGCCATTGAGAGGTTGATGAAGAGAGCTATCTCCCTCATCCAAGTCCTGACAAAAGTTATCCAGCAGAGCAGTTAGTATGGTTTCTGCCTCTTCCTCAGGCCTCACCTAACTGAAAGGACTTCAGATAAACTACTTCTTCTGAATTGCTCTATGGCTAACATGCCACTACCCTCCTAAAAAGAGAAGATGGAAACATGGCAGTAATTGTTCCATCACTTCCTCCTTTAGGCCATTAGGTAGAACTACTCTCAAATAAGTGTTGTCAGTCTTTCCACCCAGTCATTTCCCCAGCATTCCAAAAGTTGATACAATGAAGGTCCATATTCACATTTTTAAAGTCAGCAAACTAAAATAAATGCCAGATAGCAATGATGTTGCCTCAAAATTTTCATAAGATCTCACCATGCAGAATCCAGTTTTCAGCAAATATGACAATTTTTATCAGTGAGATACTGAAAGCATTTGATTAATGTCAGTTAGTCGTCTGTACTGGCAGTGCAGGTGTCATTTACATTGTTTCATCTCTCTAAGCTGATCAATAAATTAAGGAGTTCCCACAGAATTGGCAAATAAAGAGGTCACACAGAGGGAGTCGTATCCAGCACTTTAATTACCTTTGTTTTCTAAAGTTCAACTGCTGCTCACTGATATTACCTTCCAGATTCCTAAGTAAATCCTAAATTTCTAGAATCTATCCAGAATAATAATATGTGAGGCAGATCGTTCTCATTAGTTCTTCCATATACAGAGATCACAGAAAGTGATGAACAGCTGGATCAAAAAGTTATCTCTGATCATGGCAGAGAACTAATAATAACCATTTTCATCTCATGAACCTTATATCATAAGCTTATCATACCATAAGCCAATTATTCTGAAATAAAAACAAGGTGTAGTATATGATCCCCTACATGGATCAGATCAGAAATTACCTGGAATAGGACCAGGGAGATTCCTGGTTGCTCTGGATGCTGTGTGGATTACCATCATCCTCACCACAGAAATTGAAATCCTCAAGATCAGTTATCAATAGATTCCAAAACCAGCTGATACTGGAATCCAGGATCCTCCCAGGGAAATGGAAAGGCAGTACACATACAGAATCTTGAACTTACCCTTATACCCCTGCTTCAAATACAAATGTTTGCACCCTAACATCTCTGCAGTAGGGCCTCTGATTTGAGCCATGATATCCTGGGAAATCATTGCCATCCCCTCCCTGGCTTTGGAGTTATAGTTGCTGAAAGATCTGAAATCTGGGAGTCCACATTTTGGAGAAGGCAACATTGTTGACTTCACTAAATTATATTTGGGGAATACATGCTAGGTACATTAGTTTATCTATGATCAAGTTGTGAACAAATGGGACCTAATTATAATGGACTACATCTTGTTTACTAATAGCAGGCTCCAAAGTGGTGACATCTTCTCAATCTCTCTTTTGATATTAGTTTCTAGCCAATTTCCTTTCTCCATTATCCTTCTGCACTTCGCAAGTTCTTTATATATTCTCTCCATTGTTCACAATCCACAACATCCATTGTCCCCAACCTCCAAATTCCTGAGACTCATCCTAGCACCTTCAGAGTTCTGCATCACAACCACACAACCACCAAATGCAGCATTATTCATGAGTTACATGTATGACAAAAATAAATAGGCTGTTCACACTTTGTAACCAAAAACTAAAAACTTCCCAATGATAGCTTAATATATATGTCAGTAATGGACAAATACTGGTACCGAGACAAAATTAAAGGCAATGTCTGATAAGTAACAGTGATAAGAAGATGCTTTTGAAATAATGTCAGAGATCATAGCCATCACTCATCTTCATCCCCCATTTTTAAGTACTCTGGGTAAAAAAATCCACCTTCAAATCTTCTGCAGTACTATAAGATACAGTTTTCTTGCTATGCTTTCCTATGCTGACATGTTAGGAGTAAACACATTAAAACTATATTTTGCAAAGTATGTGTTGTTGAATCCTAATAAAATAGAGGAATACTTAATGGTTTCATAGATATGAACAGTTTGATCTTCCCAAACTGCAATGGTTATTTGGGTGCAGCTCCATAGTCCCTCAAAAAGTTGATGGGAAATTGTATGTTAATGTGTAGAATGGGAAAAAAAACTATTAAAATATAATTATGTAATTAGAATCTGAAATAATTTAAACAATTGAGTTTTATTTTTGTTGAGTACATTTTTGAATGTGGCTCCTTAAAGTGCTATCCAAAGATAAAATATCATCTTTGGAATGAAAAAGCTGCCCTGATGCAGTGATTTGGAGTTTGACCTATTGCCTTTTACACTAAACAGTAAGTAAAAGATTTTTCAATTGCAGCCTATTAAATAAAAGTTTGTTCTTAAAGATTTCAGGAAAGACGTTTTCACAAGGCCATCTTTTGTGATTTTGATTCAACAATAGCAGAATTTAAGGTACCATATATATATTTGTTTATAGGACCTTGATATTAATCATTAGTTATTATGTAAAACATTAGTATTCACAGGGTAAATTGTTGCTGTCTCAGTTTTATTAATCTACTATTTATTGTAAAAATAAAAGAATTATTTAAAAATTATGAAAATAGTAAATATAGAAAATAAACTTCAATTATTGTTTTTTAAACTGAGTAGTTAGTCACATAACCATTAATTTTTATTTTCATGAACTATTGTCTTAATCCATATCTATCTTTTATGTTACAGAGAGTCCTCGTCTTATGACCACAATTGAGCCTGGAATTTTGGTCATAAGTCATTGTATTTGTAAAGTGAGATGCCCACATTACTCTTTTACTCAATGATCTCAATCCCGACTTTTCCTGTTGCTAAGTGACATTAAGCAATGTGTAGGGTACCTGGGGAGAGGGAGGCCCAAAACAGCCATGTGTGTGTTGGATAGGTGCAGTGCAGTACAAAGCTGCAAACGCCCCAGCTCAGTTCTGAAATGTAGCAGTTTGGAGGCAGGGCCTGGCCTGAAGTGGAGGCTCAGGGCCTTCAGCATTCTTAACTGAACATTAAGATGGTGCTGAACAAAGGAAGATACAATCCATGCCTCAAGTCAGGGCAGTTGCAGTGCCCCTGTGATCACTGATGACAAAAATTGGGGTGTTTATCCATGTCCTCCTCTCACAATTTCAGGGGAGTGCTGAGTGGGGAGGCAATCATATCATTCCCCAAGACTCACATGTTTTACAGAATGCAGTGAGGTGGCATTTCTGAGTGGCAATAGCAGTGCTAGGACTGATGTAGAGCTGTGGGCAGTGACAGCTGCCTCAGACTGCTGAAGGCAGTGATGGTGGGACAGGCAGATGGAGTTGCAGCACCCCTGCATTTGGTCAAGCTTCTAAATTTGTGTCATATGGCTGCAGGGATACTGCAACAGACCTAACTTCAGGCATGGGTTGTTACTCCCTTTGTTCAGCACCATCATAATTTAGAACAGTGTTTCTCAACCTTGACAATTTTAAGGCATGTGGACTTCAACTCCCAGAATTCCACAGCCAGCAATGCTGGCTGTGGAATTCTGGGAGTTGAAGTCCACATGCCTTAAAATTGTCAAGATTGAGAAACACTGATTTAGAACAATTGATGAACTAATAGTTGTTAAAAAGTATTTCCTGTAATAGCATAGATTGTTAGTTAGCATTCATGAGTAAGAAACTATAACAGACTTTATCATGAGCAAAGTAGGATCTGTGATGATACAGATACAAAAAACTTAATTATGGGGCATCCTAATTTTTTATGTACTATTGATAGGAAGATCTTGTAGATTCATTGTCTTGTGATTTACATTATCTTTTTGTTTTGGCAGTTATAGTTGCTGCTTAGTCAGCTTAATATTTGTATATATTTAATGCCTATGAGATTTTTTTTCTTGTGCCTTTGGTTTTCACGCCATTATAGCTTGTTCATTCTCTATGTTGTGCCAATGAGTAGTCTGTTAGAAGGCTTTCTTTTAATCCTTGCCAAAATTAGTGTGGTCTGAAGAAGAAACCAAACCAGATAGTCCACAAATTATAAGCTTACACTCTCAATGTGAGGAAAACATGCAAGATTTTTTTTAATAATTGACTGATTATTTGCCATCATGTCATTGTCAGTAACCAATAAATAGACCTTCCCCAGAATGATATGCCACCACCTAAACTCTTCAGTGTGCCAGCGTGCACATGCAGCTTGACTACAGTAATTGAGCTGTGCAGACATGCGTGGGCTCACTCTGTAGTAGATTGTGGCCCGGAGGTTGGGAACCCCTGATCTGTAGCTCTGTATGTTATGAGGGCTGGATAGGTGCATTCTAGAAAAAAAAAGATTATTTCTGGTTTGCACAAATGAAATCAAATTCGCTAAGGCAACATTCCTAGAAAGCTGTTCCCATTATATCTTCCATTTTTCCAACCATTAATGGCTTCTCAGGGGGATAATTTATATTTACATAAGATATCCAGAATATAATAGATATAAAGACAGCCCAGCATTTGAATATCTTTTTCAAGGCTTTTCCAAAATGCTAGTCCCTGGCATATTTCTTGATTGCTGTTTCTTTTTACTGTTAATAATCCATCTTAAAAGATATGTTCTCCACTTTTAAAAACCTTGCTCATTTTCTTCCAATCCAGCTCTCACAATATATATTCAGAATATATATAATAAATAAGAAAGCAAGATACAATCTTGTTTCACTCCTTTCCTAACAAATCTTATTTGCTTGTCGTTTCTTGATCTGTGTATAGGTTTACATGAGGACAATGAAATGTTCTGGGATTCCTGTTTTCCTAAGCACACTCCATAACTTGATATGAGTTACACAAAGATTCATGAAATACATACTGATTTCATTTTTGTATTCTTAAGTTTTTCAATTTTCTATCACACATCAGTTATGTCTCTTGTTCTTTCCAACTTTGTTTTTCTTGAAATTATTACTATATATCCATTGACATCCTTTGTTTTTCCATGTTTAATGTCTTAAATAATATCATGGTTAGTCCTGCTTCTTGTTTCTTCTAATAATTCTTTGTTAATTTTTTTCCTGAGAATTTGTCATTCTTGGCTTTGCCTGTCTTTTCTTGACAATTTCCACCATCTACTCCAGGGGTCTTCAAATTTGGCCCTTTTATGACTTGTGAACTTCAACTCCCAGAATTCCTTAGCCAGGCCAAGTTTGAAGACCCCTGATCTACTCTGATACCCAATTTGGTTGCTTTGGTTTTTATGTCTTTGAGAATCTCTTTTCACATTCTTTTTTAACAATTATTTTAATGTCAATTTGCGGTTTCCTCTGGGAACCTAGTTTAGGACATCAAAACAGTTGTTGAAATTCTTGAAAATGATGGGCATATTCTCTATTAATTAGCTCTATTCTTCCACTATAGTTTGACTTGAAACTTGCACATGAGTAGTTTGTGATCTAAAGTCAGACCCTGGCCCATTGTTTGCTGTTATAACTGAGCTCTTCTATGTCCTTGTGCCACTAATACAATAAATTTAATTTCTCTGGGCTCCATCTGGTGATATTCATGTATATAAATGTCATTTGGATTAGAAATGGATAAGTTGTTCTATTTCATTTGTATTTCCTAGGCCAGGAGTCCTCAACCCCCAGTCCATGGACTGGTACCAGGCCGTGGCATGCCAGCAACCGGTCCGCAAACACAAGCAGAACCCCATCTGTGGGATGCAGGCAGCATACAAAACCAGGCAGTCTCTGGTCCATAGAAAAACCTTTCTCCACAGAACCGGTCCCTGATGCCCAAAAGGTTGGGGACCTCTATCCTAGGCCATACAGTCCAACTATATTTTTCTTCTTAATGGTTCCAACTTTGGCATTTTAGTCTTTAATGACAAGCACCATATTTTTCCTGCATGATCTATTGATTTCAAATTGAACTTAACCATAAAATTCCTCAACCTTCTGCATCAGTGCTTTATATAAACTTGAATAACTGATTTTCCGTTGTCTTTTGTGTTGCAATATAAAATGATACCTTTCTTGTAGTCACTCAAGTGGCAATCTACCTCAAGCAGATTGCCAAATATAGGTGCCTGCTTGCTTTAGCTGATGAGTTGGGAGGATCTTTGCAGTCTGATGGGAGTATTTATATTCTTGGCATACATTTTTAGCATTTTTTTACTCATAACCGTACATGCTACCACTATGAAGCACCATAGAGATACAGATATTTAACAGGGAAACAACTTTAAAAATGTTTCTTCAGACAGATTCTCCTTTCAACAGTGTAGTTCAATCTTAAGAAAAGTTATTATTAAATAACAACAAATTATCTGTATACTTTATCAAGATTTTGGAATGAATTGTAAGTATTTTTTTTTTATTTTCTCAATATTTTCACAGTCATATTATATATTACAGGAAAAAAACCTTTAAATTGTATAAAATTGTAGAATTTACCAAACACAGTTATTGATAAACAGTTCTTTAAGTAGACAAAGCCTATTTAAATAATTTAGTTCTATTTCAAAACAAAAAAATGTTATGTATTACATTTATACTGTGTGTGAATTATTGTTAGTAATGCTATTTATCTTTTCTCACTTTTGAACAGCATTGTAAAGAAAAAAGTGACTGGGCTAAATTGGGAACTTTGTATGTTAATGTGACGAGAGGGTGTAAAAATGCTGATTATCTTGAAAAATACTCGCGACATGTAGCCAGCATACTAATCAGTTCAGTGAAAGAAGAGAAGCCAGGCATTCCATTTTGTGAATTTGCTGCTACAGGTAAAATGAGCAAATATTGTCAAGTATTACAAGCTTACATGCAAAGAAAAACAGGTTCTCTTTAAAGTTGAATGTGGGTCCCCAAAAATATCAGTTCCACTTAATCTCTGCAATGGAAATCATGAATTTATCTTCTATATCATTGCTCATCATCACATTGACTTTAAAAAGCAGGAACATTTTTTTGGTGAATATGTTTGAAGGAGGCCTCTCCTTTAATTCAGTTCCTATCTCATATCTGATAGCAAATCAAAAATAAGAGCTCCATTATCTGTTGATAGCTCTCATGAAGGAAAAAAAGCCTAATAAGCCTGCTGGGAATGGAGCAATTCAGATATTCATGGCAACTGATTCTATTTATGCCTAGAATTACTGGAGCTGCTTCCTCATCCAGAATTTTGCCAGTAGATCAGATTGATAATTCTATTGACCTCCCTCACTCTGACACTTACAGCTTTAGTTCTATTGAGTCCTTGAGTCCCCACTGACCACTAATGAAATACTTGCAGTGTGCTAGTATTAAATGATTATGCAATCTTCAGTAATTAGCCAGATAATCTTCAAGAGCAGTCCCATATAAAACACTACAGTAGCCTGTCCTAAAGATAATGATGTCATGAGTTACTGATGCTTTATTCCAAGTTAGATAAAGGTTCCTCTAGCTGTGTTTCCCCTATGTCTATCTTGTAGTAGTTGTGAGGATAGGAGATCCCCAACATTTCTTTTTCTAAGAAAACATCCCTTCCAGTGCAGAGGATTAGATGTTTCTGGACAAACAAGAATTTGAGCTTACTTGGGTTCAGCTTCTCCCTTTCAATCTCACAGTCTCCAGCTCAATGCTGCTACAATGGAGGGCCTTTTCAGATTGGAGATGGATCACCATCCTTGTCAACTCATTCAGCAACATTGCTGCTCCTAAAGAGGCATTGATCACCTCCCAGAGATATCCAATCATGCTACTACCAGCTGCCTGAAGCAAGGGACACATGGATCCAGCCCATTTAATAGCTTGTAAGGACTTACTCTTAGTCACTGTTCCCCTAGAGCAGGGTTATCAAACTGCCGGCCCATGGGCTAGATGCGTCACAGCGAAAGCATGGCCACCCCATTGCCAACAATGGAAAAAAAGTCGCAATATGTCACAAAACATCACATGACATTGCGAGTTTGACACCCCTGCCCTACAGAAAGTGAATGATTCTAACCAGGCAGCTGAGTTATAATCTATCAACAGAAGCACAAATACTAAGCCACCCTTTATTCCACATTCAATGCTGAAGCTCTCAATTTTAAATGTGTTAATCTCTGGTACCTTCAAATTGGAGAAACCTATTCTGAAATATCCTTGAAATCAAGGATGAGAAAAAATAACTCCTAACCATACACACCAAGCAAGAAGAAAGCAAAGGAGTTGCTGTTTTATTAACCTTTTACTTGTATAGATCTACGTGATACTGTGAGAGGAAGGAGAAGTCCAAGGCTATAAGTACAAATGGCAGCACATCAAGGGCACCTGCTCCTCAATCCTCCACAAGAAAAACAGGAACTTGGATTACAAAATGTCAGTAGACAGTTACCTGGAGGTTTTTTTTTCTAAGGAGCAAATAACCCTGAACATAATTTTGATATATGGGAATCCATGTGTTTATCCTCCTATTATTGTTTTATCTTCTAGGTCTGTATCAAGAAAAGTGTAATTTGATGTTCAGTGGTGAAAAAAGGCAGGAAAAACCAAATGCATAGGTATAAAAATAAGTGGTACCTGGCTCTCCAGTGTTTTTTTATGTTCTATGCTTAAAGATACACAACATCTCCAAAGCATTTGAGCAATCCTGAACAGGTTTTATGGCTCCTGCTCAATGGTTAAACTGCTCAGTGGTTCTGAAGAGATCATTATTGGAATTGAAGAGAGTGAAGTGCTTTGTGTGCAGATTTCACGTGGAGATATTGAAATGAATCCTAGAATGCTTTGAGAAGGAAATGTATCTTGAGGTATCATCCAGTTCACCTAATCATAGGAAGTACCTCAAAAATACACATTGTATAAGCAACCCCCTTTTTTGATCTACACTATATCTTATCAAGATCCCAATGATGTTGGTACATGAAAACATGTACTAATTTATATTATTTTTTTCAGGGTTCAAGTGGTATTTACGAAACTATAGTATTTATCAATATGCAGATTGCTGGTCAGCCTGAGACAAAAACTAAAGATACATTTTGTTATCTCCAATAATAAAATAGTGTCTATTCCCAGAAAAAATACTATTTTATACAAACTCCAGAAGAATGTTCACTACAGAATCTTGTCAAAGCTGTGATGGAACTAGTTAAGCTATAAGGACTAATTAGCATCCTTATCAACTTGGTCCTTTCATATTCTTTGCAATAGCAGTAAGTGTTGGTTCTATAAATATTAGATTGCTTAAAAATGCCACAACTTAGTGTCAATTCCCTTGCAGTAACAATGTGTATTTGTACTGTCATCAGCATTGAGAAGGGAAAATCTAGTGAAACTTTTTAGCAATAGCACTTAGACTTATATACCACTTCACAGTACTTTACAGCCTCCTCAGCGCTTTACAGAGTCAGCCTATTGCTCCCAACAATCTGGGCCCTCATTTTACTCACCTTGGAAGGATGAGTCAATCTTGAGCCCATCAGGATTGAACTCCAGGCTGTGGACAGAGTAGCCTGCAATACTGCATTATGGATGCAACAACAAATGAGAATCAGAAATCAAGTACCAATCAGCTGCTTGGAGTTGCACTGATGAAGTCAGCAATTTCAAGCTCTGATCTAGAATTACGACAGATAAATTATTATAGTCAACCAAGCAATTTAAGTAGATCATCTCTGCCAGATGGCTATGAAGTTCTGTTTTTTTCATGAGAGAGAGCACCAGAAAGTATAGAAGAACTTTCGTTTTTTATGGTACATTTTGAAGCTGCACAAATACAAGGAACTTTTCAGCAGATTAAATGTCCTCTTTTCCATCAGTCCAAGAGTGTAGTATTTGTTTTTTTTATTTCTTGATTTCTGTTGTTGAGAATAAACTGGCCACTTTCTTTATTAATTGGTTTTAAACTTGTAGCAATCTGATTGCTAGAGTAATATATAAGCAAGGTTTTTTGAGAACTTGTAGAAGTAACCTTGTTGGTTCTCTATTGGCTCAGAAGAACCTATATTTTCAGCTCTTAAGCAGTAATCCACAGTGCTCCTTTTTCATTTTTCACACTCCTTTTATAAGCAACATTCCTGAATCTGGATCCAGATGGTTTGCTTGGTTCCAGTTCCAGCCTTTTGCTTGAAAGCTAAGCAGCTACAACTCCATGAAGTGCAATGTGATGAGTGTATTCTCAACTTCCTAGTGCCTAGTTTAGTAGATCCTGTACTACCCAGCTGTACAAGTTGACTGATGGACACGGTGTTGCTAATATTGGAGAAGAACCTGGAAGTCAGATGATTGTGTAAATCAAATCAAGATTTAAATGTGGATATAATATATAAGCATTGGTCAGTAGTGTAACTTCCTTGAGAACTGGATAGAGAGAATATGTTCCTCCTGGTCTTTTAGGTCTCCCAGTGGGTATTTTTTATATCAATAAATACTGCATAGAATCCTTTTGGCCCAACTGTATTAGAATAAAGTTCCATTCTAAGGGAGTTCTGTTTCTTTCTAAGTACATTGTTCCAGTTAATTGTGGGGAGGAAGCCTCAAATTCATGATTGTTATTATGTAGATTGCCACAGGACTTTTCTCACCATTTAACATTTCTATGAAACTACAGGGAGAGGTCGTACAGATAAACAGTGACAGTTTTAATCCAGTAGTGGAAGGTTATGAGAAGTTGGATGGGTTGAAATAAGCTTAGATTGAGTCCTATCAAAGAGATACTGGTAGTCCAGAAATGTACTGACTTTAACATCTTTGATAATTGGCTTGAATGGAGTCATACTTTCCCAATAGGAATGGTTCTGTGTCCTGGATGTGTGACTTCTAGAATAGCAAGTGGAGATACAGCTTAGACTATTAAGCCATTTGCTTCTATTTGTGTATCAGGAAAGTCCTGGAAAAGAGAGATGTTTCTCTCATCACTGTTTATGCTACCCTACTGTTTGATAAATAAATTTAGAGCAACAGCATAATTGTCACTAGCTTTCTGAGCCTAGTTTATGTTCTATATTCTATGGATATATTGCATTGCATCTTTATGAATTGCCTGGAATTTTAAAAGGCGAGTAACATGCAAATAAATAAGACACATAGGCTTTTAAAATCTGCATGATCCAAACAGAAATGTTTGTGCATCTGATAATTTAGGACATAAAAAATTATGAACATGGATTAAATAGTCTGCACTTCAACTGGAAATGCATGTTTGAGAAGGACTGATCTCTACACTGTGGAAAACATGGTTCCAGAATGGTTAGTGAGAAAAGTGGAAGAAAAATGCAAAGTTGAGGGCTTTCTCTTACAAAATAATATATTTGGATAGGGGAGGGAAGAGAAGGCACTAGGAAGATCAGGAACAGGCAAACCAATGAGATACACTATTGGCAGAAGGAATAGCTGAGAGCAAGGTGAGAAGGGAAAATTTTGGGAAAGGAGCAAGTAGTGTGAAGGAGAAATGAGAAGTGCAACATACACTTGTCAGTCTCACTCCATAAGCTAATTCCAGAATTCCTGCAGATGATGTTTTAGTTGAAACTTGGAAAAATCAAAATGTTTATTTCTTCAAAGCCATAGGTATTCCAAAATAGTTTAACAGAACTTCCAGAATGAACTTTCTCTCAGTCTCTTATCAAAAGAATGAATTTTAATTTTTGAATATACCAACCAATTTACAGGATTGTGAGGAGGAAATTAAGGGAAATTCTACTTTGAGTTTTTCAAGAAAAAAATGGAATAAAAAATTTCCTACTTGAGGAAATTCAAGTTTTGTATATTGTTTGCTTTCCATATCATATTTATGTATACTTGTTTCAAAAATTTTACTTCTTTTGCCCCATTTAAAAACAATGCTAATCTAAGATAACTATTAATTTTTTAGTTAATGTTGGTGCTCATCGTGATGAAAGAGACATTTCTTCATTAGGACGGATTGGCATTAGTGTCATGTTTTCATATTACAAAATACACCAGTGGTCAAAGGTAACTTACAAAGTCATCATGTTTATTATGTGATTTTTTAATCTGATGGGTAGGCCGTAGATACAACAAATTATATATTTGTACATGATCCTGAAGTTGAAACTCAAATACTTTGGCCACCTAATGAGAAGGAAGGACTCACTGGAGAAGGGCCTAATGCTGGGAAAGATTGAGGGCAATAGAAGAATGGGACGACAGAGAATGAGATGGCTGGATGGAGTCACTGAAGCAGTAGGTGTGAACTTAAATGACTCCAGAAGATGGTAGAGGACAGGAAGACCTGGAGGAACGTTGTCCATGGGGTCGCGATGGGTCGGACACGACTTCGCAATTAACAACAACAAAAGAGATCATTGGTTGAATTAGAAATAAATTACTGTTCATATTTTCTTTCAAGTATATGGTGGGGGAATTAAAGCATTTTTCTTTGTGCAAGTTAAATCGAGATATTTGCGTAAAACGAAGTTTGAAGTTAAGATACTTTAATCATTTCTCTCATTTGCGCCAATATGTATGGATAGGTGTGAAATGTTTGGATCATATCTCATAGGTGCATATTTTGATTGCAGGGATGCAGAAATCAGTTATATATTTTCCCATTCTTGCCCCGATAAAAATAACTAAAAGGTTACATTAATAACTTCCTCATTGCTGAATTCTAGTTTTGGCTGTGTTTTGAATATCCTTAATAATATTAAAAGATGGAAAATTTTATCAATGTCTGTGCTTAATTAACAATTCAAACTTAGAACATAAGGTCCCTTCCAACTTTACTATTATTATTATTATTATTATTATAAAATTGTGTTTTATTCTGAAATGTGTTAGAAATATCAGAATTTTACAATAATGTAATAAAATGCTTAAAAGGAGCAATATTGCCTAAGTTTAAAAAAAAATCTAGTTTCAGTGTGATTCCTGGAACTGTTATATATGCATAACCTGTAATTGGGAAAAGAAAGCTACATATATCCATAATTATAGTGCACAATTTCTTTCAAGAAGCTAATTCTTGGTAAATGAGAGGAGAAAAAGTATACTGTGCTCTCTTTGAGATAAAGACGCTAACCAAACTACAAGTGAACCAATGTTAAAAAGCATGAAATTGTTTGCAATTTTCATTCCCGCTTTCTCCATTTTTATTTAGGCCAAGAAGATTCTGGATGTGTTTCATGCTTTAAAGATACACTTCACACTTCTTAAAGGATTTTTTGAATCAGAGCAATCAGTATCAAGATGTCAAATGGTTAATATTGCTGTGGAAATCTTTCTCAAATGTGGGAACCTTGATGGAGTACTATGGGTATTGAGAGGTAAAGTTAAATTAACAAAATTGGATTTATTGATCAAATTTATATAAATATTTATAGTTTGCTTCTGGGTCCAATTCAGGGTGCTGATTTTGACTTTTAAAGTCTCTCATGGCGTGGGACCAAGTTGAAGGTCTGCCTTTCCCCAGTTCTATCTGTTCATCCATCAGATCCAGCAAGAAAGGCATGCTATGGGTCCTGTCTTTCAGAGAGCTACACTTGATGACTCTGTGAAAATGGACCTTTTCTACCATGGCACCAGCTTATGGAATATTTTCCCTCTCCATCCCTCCTTGTTTTCCAAAAGTCCCTAAGATCTGTTTTGTCATCAGGCCTGGGACTTGTGAGTTCTTGAAATGGCTCTGTTGCTGATTGAATGTGTGCTATATATATTGACAAGTTTGTTTTTATATTTTTATTGCTGTATACTACCCAAAGCCATTTCTTGTGAGATGGGCAGCCATATAAGTGTAATAAACAAATAAACTTGTATTTTTATTGTGATTTTTTTACATTTATTTATATATTTATGGTTTATTTTAACATAAGCCTATTGGAAAAGACATGTTTAGTTCCTGATTTTGGAATGTATTTAGAATAATGTTATAAGAAAAATATATGCTACATTCAAAGCATTTTTATTCCACTCTTTAGTCAAAAAGGTATCTTCAAAGAATAATTACAATAATTACTAAAAAAAATGTTCTTATTAGCAGACTTAAAATCTAAAAGACAAATTTCAGAAAGTATTAAATAGTGATAAAAGGTTTATTTTTCAATTATGTTTTTCATTATTGAATGAGTCTCAAAATAAAGAAAAAATACAGTGCACCATCCTCCCTCATCAAATTGTATATTTCCATCAATCCCTAAATGAACAAAAGCTGACAAAATCTTTACATGTGCAAAATTGAATATCACTTCTTTCCTGAACTTTTGCACACAACTTTTGACATCTAAAATTAGACACCTAACTTTGTTTTACTTCATAAAGAACTGTTATTTTAATTCTATTTTAATAAAGTAGCTTTTCCTAGTTTATGTGCAATGAAGGATTTGCTCCTGAAAAATATTACATAACAACTTACATTGTTACTCAGATATGCCCTTTGTTTTGTGTCCTTGCCCTGTGATCTGTTGCTTTTAGTAATACTTATGGAATTTTTTCAGCAACTATTCCAAGAATTGAATATAAGGACTTGCTGTTTTTGTAAGGTTATTACTACGTTCCCTCAGACTATGTAATATAGCTCAAGGAATATTAAGAACCTAAATTTCTTCTAAAGGCCATTTAGAAAGCCTAGTATTATTTGAGATTAGTCCCATGATTTTGTTTTTTGCTGTATGCTCTAACAATTTTAAAATAGCATTACTTCCCACAGGATCAGAATGGATAATAAATACAGCAGCATGGCCTTGTGAAAGAATGGATGTCCTCAATCGACATAATTTGCTATATGCTGTAGCATCTGAATTAATGACAAAAAAACGGTATGATGAAACGTTTGAAGTCTTAAAAAATCTCCCAGGTTTTCAGAATACTTGTGGTAAGTTGTTAATTACTTGTTATTTATTACTTAAAATAATAGACTTTAGTTTGAATCTGCATCATGCAATTTTCATTACCTAGAGGTGCTGTGATTTGGGAATGTATAAACAATGTAAAATCTTAAACAAATATTTCTGTTTTCAATCTCTTAATAAATCAGTTTACTAATATAGGTAGCTCTACTTATTCACAGAGGTTCTATGCCTTCTCTACCACAGAATCTGACATTTGAAATGCCATGATGGCCTGGATCCTTTTGGCCTTTTGGAAGGCTATGAAGATCATGTTTTTTCTAAGATGTTAAGGGAAGGATATGTCTATTAGTATTACGACTTACTCTTTTTTCAAATAATTTTAATTAAGAATGATTGAAAAGTCAATGCAAATTACAAAAAACATGAAAAAAGAGAGTGTGAAAATGAAAAGGGAAAGAATAAAGAAAAAGAAGTAACTTTCTCTTTCATCCCAGCAAGTAAAAATGTCTCTGAATAATCTCTCTTCTACCCATAACTCATCTCTTAAGTAAGGAAAATAAAATCAAAATGCTACATCAATCTTTGTCAGCAAAAGTCCAGTAAAGATAACCAGATAAGTTTTCTTCTTTTAACCATGATGGAATAAACCAATCTTATAAATCTTCCCTGATTTTTTTTTAAATATTTAACCCTTTAAAAAGAGTTCCAAAGGTAATTTGCTGTTCATTTACGTCTTAAAGTAAAAATCCTCTAGAACTTTTAACAGATCTATCTTGTAGCCAAACTGTAACTAAAAATTATCTTTTTTGTTTATTACTTCTAAAAAAGGCCCTCCAAATCTTAGCAAAGCTATTTTATATATCCAAGAGAAAGAAGTTATCCTGGTTTAATGTCTGTTCATCTCGTTTAGAGAATATGTCATCCATCATATCATTTGCATTAAATTTAAATCTCATTCAAATTAATGTTATAAACATCAATTGCAGCTCATTCTTGTTTTAAAAGTTTATTAGAATATGCTGTGTCAGTTTTATTTATTTATTTATTTATTTATTTATTTTATTGATTTATATGCCGCCCAATCCCAAAGGACTCAGGGCGGCGTACAAAATATTTATTTATTTAATTGATTTATAAATATTATCAATTTTTTAATACATATTGCCCAAAAGCTTAGCTAAAAGGTATCAAAAGTTTGCACTATGGATTTCTGCTTTCTTTATCCACTGGCTCTCCATTTTTTCCATGAAAATGTATCTTCTAAATAATTTACAGTTACAATTCCAAATCTTCCTACCCCCTTAATCCATTATTGGCTTTTAAATTCCATATAATAAGCAGCCTTCTTGCATAGCCTAAAATATCATATACATTTCTTAAAATTAAATCAAATTTATACAATTTACAATAAAGTCTTGCCAACTTGAAGTGCCTTAATCTCTGATTAAGATACAAGGTTTGATTGAATTTAGGGTACATCAAGGCTGCTATGCTAGTTTGAGCTTGATATAATTCTAACTCTCAGATATTCCAATCAGAAATCAACCATAAAATTGACAATTTCCAGTCTACTCATGAGGAATGGCTGTGCAGAGTTGCATGGATTATCTCAGTGATATCTCCTTTGTTCAGAGAGATTATGCTGAATCAGATCCATCATTTAAGGGTGATTCCTCTTGTAAAACTGTCTTGCTAGCTAGCAAAAACCAGCAAGATGTTCACTTGCCATGGCAGTTACAGGAAGTTAGTATTATGACTTGTTTTGAGAAACCTTAGCTATAGTGTGATAATGATGATTAATTGTATATTGTACTATTTTATTTTGATTTGTTTTATTAATATAGTTTGTGTGCATTGTTTTTTAACTGCCCAGTTTTACTAGTTTAAAATGGATGGCCAGATAAATTTTTCAAATAAATAAAATCATAGATAACAATACCCTGAATGAGATCTTGAAATTTAAAAAATGCATCTGCATGCATAAAAGCTCCTGTGCTATTTTTGTATGCATAAGATAACTGATAACAAGATATAATATATAGATTTTTTTAGAAATAGTAAATAGTAAAAAATTAGATCTATAGAAAATGAGGATCACTTACACATAAAATTGCATCTTTGTCTTACTTCTAGTGCAGTGGTTCTCAACCTGTGGGTCGGGACCCCATTTGGGGTCGAACGACCATTTCACGGGGGTCGCCAAACAATGCAGTCCGCCATTTTTCCCCCTTTTCCTTAGCTGTGCTACTCCCTTTTATTCCATTGGCTTTTGAAAGCCAATAGAATAGACTCTCTTGAATAGAGTCTAATTCTATTGGCTTTCAAAAGCCAATAGGAATTGTCCAGGCTGTCTCTGCCCTGCTGAGCCCGCCAAAAGTCCCATTCTGCAAACGGTGCTGCACCAGTTGAGTAGTCCTCGACTTACGACTGGTTGAGTAGTCCTCGACTTACGACCGGTTGGGGGTCGCAGCATTAAAAAGGTTGAGAATCACTGTTCTAGTGTTTCCTCTGGATGTCTCATTTTACTAACATAAGTTTGGCAACACTTTTCTTCCTTCAGTAAGAGGAAACTTTTGTTTAGTTCACATGAACTATTTCATTTTGTTTGTATTTTATGTTCTGGGGATCCTTTAAGGAAATTAATTTATTTTCTTAAATAATTAAGAAATCTGGAATTTTTAAGTCCTTTTAAATGTTTTTATTACTAGTTTACAGTTTTTCATAAAAGTTGTGTTTTCATAAAATGTATTTTCAATAGTAGTACACAAATCTATGGAACATTGGTCATCCTTGGTCAATATTTACTTATCGAAAAGGATAAACAATGGCTATAGTGAGTAAAAAAAAGCAGTAGGAGCAGGAGTGATTTCCAACTTCTTGTTGGCTTACACTTTGACTTTGTTTGTGGGAAGCTGGCAGGGAGCATCAGAACTCATGACCACCTGGCAGTGGTGCTGCAATGATCACAACTTTTCCAGTACAACAAGTCTGAATATCCTTGAAATTTCAATTGCACTTGAGTAATTGGTCCCAGATTTTGAATAGAATTTAAAATAAGCTATTTCAGATATCTTGATTCAAAAATTGTTGCCCTGTGATGCACTATTTTGGCTAATTGAAGGATACAGACTGACAGGAGAGATTTAGTACTTTATATAAGATTTACTATAGCCCTTTTATTTCACTTCTTAATATAAGGTATACATAATAATTTTGCAGTGTGCCCGGCTCTTAAAATTTAAGAAGCTTCTGAATAAAATTGAAGGAGAAAAAATAACTTTAATTGTTCTTATATAAAAATAGGAAAAATGTTTGCATCATTTCATTGTTGGAAAAAGTATTATGCTTCATAGCTGAAGGATATTCTTAAATTTTCTCTTACAGACTCTCTGGATGTAGCCCAGTATGGCCTTTTGTTTAATAAACTGCTAAGTGCTTGTTCAGAAAGCAGAAACATTGAAATATCATCTAGTGTAGTAGAATTCATACTTGCAAGAAATATTCCTATTGAATTTAATTTACTTCGATCATTAATCACAGCACTAGGAAGAAGTTGTTTGTGGCTTAAGGCCAGGAAACATTATAAAAGTAAGCTTTCTTTAAAATGCATCATTTTTTTATGTTGGACCAACTTCACATGGAAATGTTTGCACTAAAAAAATTATGATTTCATTAATATTGAACACTGGCCAGAGTAATTTTGGAGACATGTACTCACATGTCATTTTAAATTTATGAAATAACTGATTACACAAAATCTGTTGTAATCTGAGTAGCAAACAGTAAAATGATTTGAGATTATTAAAAGCATTATGTAAGATATGTCCAAAGTAACCATTCTGTGCATGGAACAGATTTTTTTTGGGTGCTTCATGCCCAAATTAAAACATGTTTTGGTCTGTTTCTGGGAAGAATGTATCTCTTTTATTCTAAATTCCTACTAAAACACATTTGTTCTGGGCTGGAATGGCTTGAACACAGTAAAGAGCAGTAAAACCAAGCCTGGAAGTTTCTTGGAGAGCACATGTATAGACAATGATCACAATAAAGCATGGCACAGGGAAGGGCTGATAGCAAGCAGGCAGGTCAGCATGTTAATCCTACATGCAGGCAGCATACAGTAGTAATAATCTACCTGCCCTGTAAAATTACTTGGGGATTCTTCTAAAACAACCATTACATTCCAGGTTGTATTTATATTGAACTACAGCCAATCTGAAACAATTCAACAAAATGTCTAGAACATAATGATAACTTGAGCTCATAACAAAACATATTTCTACCAATAATTATTAACATTTAGATCAACAGTACAAAAATTCAGAGTTGTCTATATATTGTAGTAACCTTAAAATTTGTAATAAGCTACAAAAACCAGAGATATATGTTTAGCTAATGTTAAACCTTCTCATTTATTTCTTGTCATTTTTAGATGCTTTAGCATTGGGTTGCTATCCACCACCTGAGGGAAATCTTTATCGTAAACTTCTACTGATTCCTTCTTATATGAGTGAAGTTGAAATGCTATTAGCAATTGAAATTTTTTTGGTTTCAAATGCCAGTAGTATTCAGAGTCCTGGAGCTTCCAGTCAAATACTTCAAATAGTATTAAAAAGGTTGGTATATATTTGAAAAGCATGTCTAATCAGGTGAAAAAATTGTTGTTCATTTATTTATCCCCTGCAAAAGATATTTTATTATTTATTTAGATATTTATTTCACAGATCAATAAAACTAACAAATTCTGCTGACATTTCCAGTCATAGAAATGAAATGTTGCTATTGAAAGTCTTCCAGAGCAATAGAATGCTAATCATAACTCATGTGATTTAAATTTTTTTTCCAGATGTGAAGGTAACAATATTCGAAACAAGGAAGAATATCAGAATGCTACAGAGAGACTGTTTCAGGCTGCTCAGATATCTAATCCAAAGCTTTTCATAAAGCATTTGACTGTCAATGTTAATAAGGACCAAATTTATAGTTTGGAGCATGCGTCCGTACTTAAATGGTTGAAAGAGAATATGAAATGGGCAGGAAAAGCCTGGCTTTTTTAGTTACAGTAATCATTGCTTAAAGTAAATCAATAAAGGTTGTTTCTGTTGTGTTCAGACTCTTAATAATTCAATTTTTCTGTTTCTAACAAAAAAAATAATTTAGAATATGGGTTTCTAGGCATGGTCATTCAGAAGGATCAATTCGTGATCATTTACTTTTTTTTCTGCATCAAAGTATGCTCACAGTTCAGGGTTAGAATTAGAGGTTTCATAATCTTTACTGTCTTTCAAAAACAAGGTTGTTGCCATGCAAATAGTTTACAGTTTTGAGGACAGCATATAATAAAATTTTATAGTTTGGGACATATAAATGGTTGGCTTTTTTAGTCAATAAAGATTTCATTACAATAATTGTTTAAAATGAATCAATAAAGGTTGTTTCTATTATGCTCAGACTCTTACTTTGTTCAATATTAGTTTCTAACAAAAGAAAATAAAAGAGAAATTTGCTTTCTAATATGATCATAGAGAAGAATCAGTCTTTTTAAAAAATTATTAGATTTTTTTTAAAACTAGAAAAACAAAAACTGAAACTAATATTTGATATAGAAGAGGGGGAAAAGAAAAAGCAAAGCCAAAAATGCTGAAAAAAAGTGAAATGCAAAGAAATTATTTCTGATTTTATTTTCCAACAGATATAAATTTATCTCTTAATTTAGGGTTACAATATAACTTGCATTTTTCTATTACTATTGTTTCTAATAATCAAAGCCATATATCATAATACCATTTATTTTTCTGTTTCACACAAAAAGCCCAAAAGAGTCTTCCAGTCAGCATTTAAAATTTACTCAATGTCTTCTCTAATCAAAACTATCATTTTTGCAGTCTCAGCCACCTTCATCTTCACTATCCATTCTTCCAAGAATTTTTTCTGTTTGTCCATCAGTTCAAAAGAAACCTCTCTGATACCACTTATTAATCTTTAAAAATCTTCTGAATGTAATTGAATCTAAAACTTTGGCTTTTTTATGTGCCCATATAAATGGTCCCTCGTGTTTTATGTTTCCAACATAAATTTGAAGTATCTTTATATTTTGACAATTTTTCTGGTGAAAAATACTAGCAGTACATCATTTTATAAAAGTTCTCTTTAAGATTACAATGTAAATTTTAATCCTTTCATCCATATATTATCAAATTGTTCCACTTGTATATTATAATCAACATTTAGCCCATTTTATCATACATTCTTTCGCTTGTTCTTCCATTTCAAATTTTAGTAAGTTTATAAATTTTAGGAGTAATATGTTCTTAATTTGTACATAATTCTGTTTCAAATTCCATATTACAGTGTTCAAATAAATCCTTTAATCTACTTAAAATTTCTCGTAATTGTACATAAGAAAACTATTGACATACATATTGTATGATATTATTTTGAAATCTCCTTGGAAAATTCCAAAATATCAGCACAATTTATCATTTAGATATCATTTCTCATCTATATTATGTTTCTTATGATGACAAGAAGGGCCAGTTCTTCATGAAACTATTTCCTATATTAAAATGTTTTTCTAATTTATGTTTAAAACTTTAGGTTTCATAATCTTTGATTTTATAGCTCTGAGGATAGTATATAATCCACTATTCAAAGTAAATAAGGTAAGTTTTTAAAACAAACTAAACATAAGCAGAAGCTTCAAAGCAATGAAATCATTAAACAGAAATAAAAGATAGTCTTTTGAGTTGAGCTCAGCTGGTGACAGACATGTCTCTGTAGGTTTTTCTGTTTGCAAGAGTAAAAGAGTAGTTTCCTTTTGCTTTATTTCCCTGTTGAAGCTGCTTCTCAGGCCAGCCTTTTCTAGTGTTGGCTAGTAGTATACCATGTCTAGATCAAGCCTATTTACTAATCTAATGTCCTACAAGATTAGGTAGGTAGTACTATTAGTACCATTAAATCTACTTGATACAGCAAAATCAAAATGGGCTAGAAGGGTTGATAGTATTAAAAATGTCTCTTGAGACTCAGCGTTCAGTTGGTCTTTCCTAAAGAATGTTTCATAATGAGAAAAGATGTCTAATATTAAATGTAGGGAGTAATCATCATTTTAGCCAGTGTCTATATACTGCAGGATACTACATCTAGTTCCTTTCCAGATATAAAATGTTTTCTTTCTTTGGTAAATTTATTAAACAACCTGGCTCTTTTCAGGATTAATTTTTAAGTCAGGTGGTTTTCCTGCTTTGTGCAGCTCTTGTTTGTGTCTTTGTACCTTTTCTGGTCTTGTGAGAAGAGAACAGCATCTGCAAATCTTAAATGTTTCCAACCACTATGGTTCAGAGCCTTTCTTTTGCCAATTGGGCCCACAATACTTGCTGATGTCATTGATCCATCTTTAGGTCTCATGGATGCTTTTTATCAGGTAGGATCCATTCTATGACTGCCTTGTCCACCTGCCATCAGGTCTTGCTATGTGACCAGCTCATTTCCATTTCAATTATTTTACTCTTTCGATGATATATACTTTTGTTTGTTTTCTAATCCATGTGCAGGTCTTTCTACCTTGTCTTGTAATGCCGAGCATGTAATTTTTCATGGTTCTTTGTGCTACTCGTAGCTTTTGTATTGATTGTGAGGTTAGTGTCCATGTTTCACTGGCATTATGTTAGAGCAGGTAGTACACACTGATTGAAAACTTCAGGCATAGGGGTAGGTTCTTGAAAATTATGCTTAGCTTGCTGAATGCCTGCCAACCACATTTAACTTGCTGTTCAATTTCCTTTATTGTATCATCTTTCACTGAGATCTATAGGCCAAGGTATACATGTAGTGGTCTACTACATCTAGTTCCTTTCCAGATATAAAATGTTTTCTTTCTTTGGTGAATTTATTAAACAACCCTGCTCTTTTTCGGGTTTATTTTTAAGTCAGGTGGTTTTCCTGCTTTGTGCAGCTCTTGTATGTGTCTTGGTAGCTTTTCTGGTCTTGTGAGAAGAGAACAGCATCTGCAAATCTTAAATGATTTAAATAGGTGCCATTTATTTTTATTCCATCTTTTGTCCAGTCTAGTTTGTGAACTACTTCAAGGTAGGCGAAGAAAAGGATAGGTGATATTGTATTGCTCTCTTGCACATCTTGTTCTATGTTGATTTCCTCTTTAAGATCATTAAGGTAAATTATTGCCATTGTTTTTGCATATATTGATTGTAGTAAGTTTAAGCAGTGTCTACTCCTTAGTCATTAATGTTCTCATTCTTTTTGTTATTGGTGAAAACCTTGCAGATGACTAAAAGAAGGCTTATTGGGCGATAGTTCTTTAAATCATCTTGGGCCCCTTTCTTGTGTATAAGAATCACTTCATCATTTTTTCATTTATTAGGTATTTTTTTCTTCTCTAAGGCATCTTAAGTGTAGTTTTGCTAGTATCTTATGTAAACTGTGACCACCAGCTTTCAGCATTTTAACCGTAACAGTCATTTCCATTTTGTGCAAATGTGTCTTGTTCAAATTTGAGGTTTGAAGGCATGGACAACTATTATGTGTGCATGTTAATTCTGTAATTGTTCTTTAACACACAACTCTTATTTTCAGGACTATGAATTATTTCATTATTATAAGAGATGTAAAGCAAATCTAAATATCAAAGAAACATTTAAATTAAGAACCTTTAGTAGTAGATTTTTTCTTTTGTGATCTATGTTTTATATACAGTTTATATGTAATGTGATTTGTTCTAATGAATTCCCAACACAGATGATTGGCAACCTAAAAATTCATTCATTCTCAATTCCTCTTATTTTCCTAAGTTCCAAAGATCTTCCTTCATTTGCATATACATTATATTCTTTGAAAACTCATAAAGCTTTTCTAAGGTGTCCAATTTCTGAAAAAAAATCAATATTTAATTGATTGAACAATAAATTTACTGTTATATATTTGAATGTCACCATATTACCTGGCCAACCAATTGGTCAGATCTTGTTACTTGTTTAATAGAAGACCATCAAGAAATCTCAAGATTATAGATTAAATTGATAAGTAAAACTTGTATAAATGCAAAAGTTGTGTGTGTGTGTCACCATAGATCAGGGGTAGGCAACTTTGGCTCTTTTATGACTGTGGACTTCAACTCCTGGCTCAGGAATTCTGGGGGTTGAAGTCCACGAGTCATAAAAGAGCCAAGGTTGCTTACCCCTGGCATAGATGTTTAGGAAAGCTATATTAGACTATAGTGGCCAAAAATTAAGGTTCTGGTACTATTTTTTCAGATTAAATATTTTATTAAAAGACCTCAACTGGATCCCAAACTACATTTTCTCCATCACATTTGACAAAATTAAATTCAACTCAGGAAACCTGATGACTTTAGATTTCTGACCTGTCCTTATAGCAGCCACTGGTCAAGGCCAGCTGGAGAACATTTTACTAGATAACTGCACCGAGCGACTTAGTACTTGTGTAGTAGCTCCAATAGTTAGTTGGTCTTGGGAACTATTGTTTCTGCAGCAGAGATAGTCGCCTGCTTATGTCTACTCTGAAGTCTAGAATGAACTATACGCTTGCGGGGAACGTTCCTGCCAACCGGTTGAGGGCTAGCGCTTGTACATGCGCTCCACGAATCCCCCAAATAAAGACAAGCTGAATTCCAGTTCCAATTAAAGGCCGAGCCCTTTCAACTGGAATTATAAAGGGACCTAGATGCAGTTGTCTGCATAGCGCTTCGTCGGAATTCGTTTACTAGGTGATGCGCCCTCCTGAAACGGCAGCAGCGCAGAATTATGGGCGGTGCCTTCTGGCTTTAAAAACACGTGGGGAGGGGGGCGGTTGGGGTGACGTCAAGGGGGCGGCAGTAATACGTTGACGTTGCTTGGCGGGCGGAGCACCTCCTATACCTCAAAAAGGTCTTGGACGGAGGAGGTTGCTTGTGGAGGGCGTATCAGGCCGTCTGCAACTTGGGGCTTTTCCGCGTGAAGCCATGGTATGTATTCCGGTCCCTTCAAGGAACAGGTGAGGCGCGGAACAGCTGCAGGCGGAGCGGTTACTGTGACGGGAATGTATTGGTGTAACGCCCCAAGCGCCTAATGACTGGTGTAAGAACAAGGGCTGGAAGGGAGGCAGGACTGAGGTGTGTAGGAAACCACGATTGAAAGAAAGAGAATGGAGGCTCCTGGTTCGGTACTTGGTCTGACGGGATTGGAGGAGCTACTTTTGCTTTCAGTGCTTTAGTAATTTCAGGTCTGAAAACCTATTAGGCATTTGTCTGGGTAGTTGTACGACTCTGTCCGCTGATGTCCTTCGCATAGGCCTTTAAAGACTATTGAATCCAAGTTGGCCTTCCTTGTGTGTGGGGTAAATACCAATGCAGGCACTAGCAAAGAGCCTAAGAAATAAATGGATTTTGGAATGCCATGCAACTTAATGGGTCTATATTGTATACCATTTTACTTTGCATTTTAAGTATATTTTGTCTGAGTTTTTAAGTACATGAAGTTAATTGCCTTATATAAGCTTTTGAAAAACTTTTACATTGTTAACAAGAATCTTTGATGAATATGGTAACCTTTAGACATAATGTTTAAATAAAATAGTACCTAGATAGCATTTGCTGATCTTAAAAAAATAAATATGTTTAGATCTGATCATTCTTTGTATATAGGAGGATTCCAGAAAATCCCAGTGCTGTAAATTAGATTGGAAAATCAAACATTGAAAGAAGGCATTAGCTAACAATTTCTGTATTGTTGAAAGAAAATGACAAGTTCACAACTCAACTGCATTTTTTTAAGTACACAAATAATTAAATAATGGAGAAGAGAGTGCATCATTTCATCAGCAATAATTCTTATTCAATACCATTTATCCTTTATGTTCCTCTAAAATTTTTGTTCAGAATGAAATTGATTGCAAGAACTTATAGTACATTTCATCTTAATTTTGAATTACATGCCAAGGGAAGAACTGTAATATTTTTGTATAAGAATGATTGGGATTTATTGTTTTGAGGACACATGTTTTCATCAATTTGTAAGCTATCAAGTTTATGTTCCATAATGATAAGCAGAAAATAATTTCCACTACTTAAAATAATTTAATGTAATATCAAATATTTTTCGGTTAAATGTTGTAACTTGAAATATAAATAGCACTAGAAAATATGAATTAATGATTTCTTTCTTTGTTTATAGAAATTAGATTCCATTTGGAATCCAGATTAAACAGAGATGTTTTGTCATTGGTTGACAGTAAGAAGGTAAAGTGGTTAGTTGTACAGTTTTTAACATACCATTTTAAATGGTTATATTCTTTGAATAAAAAGTGAATTGAGTTCCTGGAATTCTTAACTTGATTCAATAATTTAATCTTATAAATTACATTTTTAATGTTAGGCAAGTACCTTTTGTCAGAAAATATAGGTAATCCTCAATTTATGACCACAATTGAGTCCAAAATTTCCATTGCTAAGTGAGATAGCTGTAAAATGAATCACTGCAGTTATTAAGTTAGTAACATGGTTGTTAAATGAATCTGGCTTCTCCATTGACTTTGTTTCTCAGAAGATCGCAAAAGATGATCACGTGGTCCAAAAAACTGCAACTGCCATAAATGCGAGCTAGTTGCCAAGCATCCAAATTTTGATCATGTGACCATGGGGAAAGTTGAAACTTTCATAAGTCATTTTTTTCTATGCTGTTGTAACTTAGAATGGTCAAATCTAATTTTACTGACTTACCCATCCTTAATGTAACATGTCATTTATCCTAAGCAAAACATTGTGTTCCATTCGGTTGCCTAACAATGCTTGTTCGCTTGTTTAAGGTTATGTTTGAAGAAACTACAATTGCAGGCAAGAGCATTATCTGGTGCTGATGCTATAAATGCTCTGCGACCATTCTATTTTGCAGTACATCCAGATTTTTTTGGTCAGCATCCCAGAGAAAGGGTAAAAAAAATTCTTCTATCTTTTGAGATACAATTCTATGTATTTTAAAAAATCTGAATTTTGAACATGCCTAAGACCACACTATTTAATACTTCTATGTTAACTGAAGTCTGTTTGTACTTAACTAGCAGCTTGTTAATCTGACATGAGTATTGTAACTAGTACTTTCCACATACAAAATACATGCAAATTCTTTACTATTAAACTATGGCCCATCTATTTAAAGAGACATCCTTTTGTAAAAGATAAATATTATTCTGTTATCGTGCCTTTGTGTCAGGCCTTCTACCCCAGTCTACTCTCTCAGGAAAGTAAGACTTGTGACTCCATTTGGTTGAAGGAGAGGAACGTTTACTGAAAGAAATTGGTTGCAGTAAATTCAAGCGGAATCTAATGTTCCCACACAAAATATAAAGCTATTCTTTTCCTTTCCCACTCTCTCCCCCCATGACCATTCTCCCAATCAGCCAATGCGATGCCAGTAAGATGCTTTGAGAAACTTTAAGGTATCAAACTGATTACAGTCCATTCTCAGGACAAATAGCCTTGAAGATCCTGGTACAAGGATTGTTTGAAGTTCCCTCCTTCTTAATGAAAGGACACCAGCAAAGCGCAGGATGGTGATGGTGGACCTGACCCTTCGGGACATATACATGTATTTACAGATCAAACTGATTGGAGGAATTAGACTAGTGTAAGAATAAAAGCACCAGGCTAAAACCTGGGAGAAACTGGAAGACCATGAATTCTGATCCTGATGTATGCATAAAACCAGATGGGTTACTTTGAGCCATTTCCTCTCAGCCATAGGAAGAAGACAATGATCCTGAAAATATTACCAAGAGCACACAAAAAGTACTTGGATATGAGAACAATATTGCTTATAATAAAGAAATTAAAATGTATGCAGTTAACTGGAGCCCTCTTTAAAACAATGTTCATTTGGAATTCGGCTGACCCCAACCTTCTTAGATTTAGAAAAGCTATTCACACTTGATTTTTTGGCAGACTCGAAAAATGGAAATTACATCATTTGGGGTTTTTTGGGCAATTTGGCAATAACTTCTTTATTTGATTGGTGCTGCCCAGACGCATGATAGCTATATGGTTTTTTTAGTTTTATGTTGTTTGAATTCTGTATATTTATTTAGGTATAAAATCTCCTCATAGATTGGAGTTAGCATTTAATTCTACTAAAATAAATATGTAAAAAACATACGTAAGCAACATTTCATTAATTGAATGATTGCTGGGATTCTTTGGCACAGGTGAATTTTCTTCATTTATCATTGAAATAATGTGTTACTTTTTACCTTAATAGAAATTCTGCAATATTCTAAAAAACGTACCACATATCTTTTCAGTGTAATTGAAAAAAATCTAATTAAAGAAAAGTATTTGATCATCTGGAATATATTTTATTAAGCAAGGTGGTTGTAATCTGTTTCTTGGAATGTATCTGCTTTAATGTAACTAGCCTCTGCACTTGAGTATTTTGTTATTTTCAGGAAATCAATGAAAATTCTCTGAAAAGATTAAATGGGTATTTGGAGAATCTTCAAAAACCAGGTTTCAGATCATTTAAACCAACTCAGCTCACTTTTTATGTACGAGAGAGAGAACAAAGCCCTTCCAGTGTCCAAGAACCATTTGGTGCTGCAGGTAATTTTAACATTTGGAATTTTAATAAATCACTGACAGATTATGGATAATTGACACTCCTCTGGTATCTGCAAAATGTTTATATTATATGCTAGGACATCTTCAATATACCCCCTTAAAGGTGCTGGATTAAAATAATAATCAAAATAATTTCCTTCTACATCCATAGTGACTTTACTATTCCTTTTGTCAGTATATAAATGCAATATGTACAAGTAGTCCTTGACTTATAGCCATTCATCCAAAAACTGTTAGAAGTTACAATGGTGCTGAACATATAATGGTTACAGATGGTTCTTGGAGTCATAGCTGTCTAAGCACTTGCACCACCATGATCATATGATTTCAGTCTAAGCACTTGGAAATCCATTTGTACATATGACCAGTTGCCAAACATCTGCAATCATTTTACTGCCATTTGCCATTTTTGCTATTTTCCCCAGAAAGTTAATGGAGAAGCCAATAGGAAAAGTTGCAAGTTGCTAGGGTGGCACCATCCACTTTTCCTAAACACATGCAGGGCTCTCACGAACCCCTGCATATCACACCTGTCCTGCTTGGTCTCCCTTGCGTATCTATGTACCTTCCCCTGACTTACGCATCCCTGCACACCCTCCCTGATCTGCATGACACCTCTCATGTACCTCCATGCACCTTTCCTGACTTTCTCCACATCCCCTCACTTCCTTCCCTACCAGCAGCTACTTACTTGCCTGCTGGGCTGAAATCTGTAACTTTGTGCTGGCTTCACCACTGACTTTGATTGTGGAAAGCCAGCAAGAGGTTGCCTTGCCTAACCACTTTGGGATTCAGTTAATGATGTCAACCAGGCCTGCAGGGATTGATATTGCTAAGCTATGCAGTCAGACTTTGCATTGTTTAATGACAGAAACTCTAGTCCCAATTATGGATATAAGTCGAGGACTACCTGTAAAACTGCATAATATCTTGCCTGATTTAACACCCTTGCACTTCCAAATGGTAGTTTGAGGCTTAGCCTTTTTCTGTTATTGATATTTTCCTTGTGAGAGGCAGCTTAGTATAGTGGTCAAGGCATCAGGGTAGAAACTGGAAGACCATGAGTTTCACTTTCATCACAAAGTTGCCTAGTTGGGTTATCTTGGACTAGTCACTTTCTTTCAATCCTAGGAAAGAGACAATGTGAAATCACTTCTTTAAAACTTTGCCAAGAAAACTACAGGGATTTATCCAGGCAGTTTCTGATAATTGGACATGATTAAACAGAAGAAAAAAATCCCTGAGAATATTATTGTGGAAATAGTTGCATAATTAAAAATCACTTTGGGGGGGAAAATTAAGATATTCTTCTCCAATCTAGTGTCCTTCGTGCTGTCTGAGTATTATAGGAGTTTCAGCTTAAGATATCTGGAATGCACCAGGTTGGTGAGATTTCTGTAAATGATTAATGTCCAGTTTGTTTGCTTTATTCCATTTGTATACCATTTAACTGACAACAGAATTACAGAAGGTTGTAAAATACAGTAATGGATAAATTATGCATAAAATGGTTAATTATTTTGAAATGTCTGTACTTAGGTTTATATACAGATAGCAGCTTTAATTATTTAGAAGGTTAATATGTTGCCACACTCTTATTGTGCTGTGTGGCTTACATAAAAATACTATACATTTATATATTTTTATCAAGCTCTTGCAGATCAAATATCTGACCAAACATAGTAATTATCAAAAATAAGGTTAGTAATGCTCTTCATAGGAAAATCTATTGCTATTAATCTTGGTACAAGTTCTGCTGAATTCAGGAGTATTCTCAGTAGAAATCAGATCTTTATAATTTCAGGTTTAGCATTATGATTGACTAACAATAGAAGTTTGCTCTCCAGCTCTGATTTGCATTGTCTGTTTTAAAGCAAGTATAGAAACAATATAAATGCATTCATTTAAATATAATATTCTGTGCATTTTATAGGATTTCGAACAGTCAGTATTACTTTGCGCACCAGAGACTTGTTAAGCACAGTGTTAGATATCCTGAACTCTTGCAGTTTATCTACGGATCATGTTCAAAGCTTGAATGGCAGTGCAAATACTCAGTCTACTCAGGAAACCAAAAGCACGTTTCACAGGCCTATTAAATGGGACAAGACATACTACTCTTTTACTGGATTCAAGGATCCTGAGGAAGAACTGGAGCAAGCCCAAAGGATGGAAACCACCCTGAGGTAGTGATGTAAAAACATCTCAGTTGACTTCTTTGCAAACTATTCTGTTTAAGGCAGAGATCTTTCCCAGCCAATTAGCCCATTGTCTTTCTTTGACCATGTACTTTTAGATTTTAAACTTGATATCAACAAACTACAGGATTTCTGCATAGAAAATATGTCTTCACCTGAGTCAAATATTTTTATATCCTCCAATTTTCAATGTGGATATGAATAGAATAGAGTAGAATAAAGTAGAAAATAGAATAGAATAGAATATCTTTATTGTCATTGTGTATCTCACAGTGAAATTAAGTGCTGTCCACAGTGCACACGACACAGAAGTAAGAACCACAAGTAAAAACTTATATACACATATTCTTCACATTCTATTCACCATTGCGCTGCCCCTAATATTGCACTTCAATGTTGCACTATACAGTAGTATTTCATATGGTTACAGCTCTGGGATAAAAACTATTTTTCAGCCTATTTGTCTTTGTTTTTATTACCCTGTACTGTCTGCCAGATGGTAATAGTTCAAAGAAAGAATGTCCGGGATAAGATGAGTCTTTAAGAATATTTTGAGCTTTCCTAAGACAGGGGAAACTGTACAGTTTGTTGGGAGGGGGAGGGCAGCTAGTAATCCTCTGGGCAGTGGTAATGATCCTCTGGAGCACTTTCATATCTGCAGTTGGCAAACCACACACAAATACAATAGGTTAGAATGCTCTCTATGGAACAATGGTAGAAGGTCACCAGCAGTTTTTCATTCAGTTGTTGTTTCCTAAGAAGTCTCAAGAAATATAATCTCTGCTAGGTTTTATTAACCAATGCTATAATATGAGCACTCCAGGTTAGGTCCCCCATTATGTTAATACCCAAAACCCTAATGCTGGCCACTTTTCATGGAAAGTGAAGTGAAAGTGTTTGCTTTTTAGATTTAAATTTCTTAAAAAATATATTCAATAAACGGGATGTGTTTTTATTTAACATTTCATGAATAGAGAAGAGTCTGTATGAGAAAATGCTGTAAAGAAATATATGCAATAAATGTAGCATTAGAATCTTAAATGCATGTTTATAACTAGATGGGGACTAGAGAATCTTGGGGAGCGGGGAAGGGGTAGCTTACTTGTATGCACAAAAAAAAAACTACTCCCAGTTCAGTATTATATAAAGGCAATTCTGTATTTGGTCTTAACTTTATACCACTTATATATTGTTAGTGCGCTAATATCCATTAGATATTCTCCTATTCCCTCATAATTTTTAACTTACATGAGAATAGCAGACTCCCAACAATAATATTTTCCTTATATATTGTGCTACTAGTTTTTAAATGCAGTGGTAATTTGTATTTGTTTCTTACCACCTCTTATCCATGTAGTTCCTGGCTAGATAATAATGAAAAAAGTGCCACGAAGAAGCTAAAGGACAGCTTACCACTCAGAAAAGAATTAGATCGTTTGAAAAGTGAACTCTGTCAGCAGTTGCAGCTCTCTGATATTAGGTAATACATTAACTTTTTGGAGAAAAACAAACTTTTTATATAGGTTTCAAGATAAATAAAAAAAATAGACCTAAAATAAAGGGGCCTAGCAAATATATTTTAAATTATGCTAAAACATGTGATCTACTGAATATAATTATATATAAAGTATGATAAAAAATAGTTTTTACTTTCAAAAAATGCATTATTTGTATCACAAGTGCTTTTTCAAGAAATAATTGCTTTCTCAGTTTTTCTATAAAATAGTGGATACAATTTTTATGTCATGCTTATAATGCTCCAAGTATTTTAAGTATTATTTTTCTCTTTATTTTTATATGTATTGCATAAAATTAATTATACAACATCTAATGTTTCAGTAAAAATACTAAAACACAAGACTATTCTTGACTACAAACTACCAGTTCAATAACTTCTAAAGGAAGTTTTTTCAAAAATGCATTTTTTCCCTAAATTGTAATTAGCCTATGACTAAGTTTTCCTGAGGGTTCATGGGATTTGTTGAAAGACATAATGCAAATGTAGCTTTTATATTTTGAGGGATTCATTAAGAAAAACCATTAAGTAAGCAAATTGCTTAATCACATTTTTAGCAAGTTACCACTAGATAGCACAAGGCCATCTCCTCCTCTTCTTTCTGCCAATAATGATTTGAGGTAAAAAAAAAGTACTGAAATGGAATATTTTTTGTACTGCACAGATTTGCTCTAACTTGGCTTTTTCAAGTTGCAATGAACTATTTCTGATTACTATATTCACATTCTATTTAAAAGACAAGAAGTGAATACATTGACAGCGTTTTTCTTTCTTAGATTCCCATAGACTTATAGCCTAGACCAGGGGTAGGCAACCCAAAACACTCAAAGAGCCACTTGGACACATTTCCCACCGAAAACAAAACACTGGGAGCTGCAAAACCCTTTTGATATCTAAAATGAAGATAACACTGCATATATCCTTTTTTACCTTGTGTGTGTGTGTGTGTGTGTGTGTGTGTGTGTGTGTGTGTGTGTAAAATAAAGGTAAAAAAAGGATATACAGTATGCAGCGTTATCTTCATTTTAGATGTCAAAAGGGTCTCTCTCTGTCACTTTCCTCTCTCTTTCTCTCTCTCTCTTTCTTTCCTTTCTCTCTTTCCTCTAATTTTCTCTCTCTCTTTCCTCTCTCTTCTTTCTTTTCTCTTTCCTCTCTCTTTCTCTTCTCTTTCTCTCTTTTCTCAATCTTTTTTCTTTCCTCTTTTTTCTCTTTCCTCTCCCCCTTTCTTTTTCTTCTTTCTCTCTCTTTCCTCTCTCTCTCCCTCTTTCCTCTTTCTCTCTATCCTTTTTCTCTACTCTTTCTTTCTCTCTTTTCCCTTTCTCTCTCTTTCCTTTCCTTTCTCTTCTCTCTTCTCTCTTTTCTTTTTCTCTTTCCTCTCTTTCTCTTCTTTCTCTTTCCTCTCTTTTTCCTCTATTTCTCTTTCCTCTCTCATATTTCTATTTCTCTCTTCTAACTTTCTCTCTTTCCTCTCTTTCCCTTTTCTCAATCTTTTTTCTCTTTCCTCTTTTTCTCTTTCTTCTCCCCCTCTCTCTTTCTCTCTTTCCTCCCCCTTTCTCTCTCTCCCTCTTTCTTCTCCCCCTCTCTCTTTCTCTCTTTCCTCTCTCTTCTCTCTTTCTCTCTCCTCTTTCTCTTTCCTCTTTCTCTCTTTCCTCTCTTTCTCTTTCCTCTTTCTTTCCTCTAACTTTCTCTTTCCTCTGTCTTTCCTCTATCTTTCTCTTCTCTTTCTCTCTTCCCTCTCTCTCTCTCTCTCTCTCTCTCTCTCTCCAGGTGAAGAGAGAGAGAGCAAAAGGCAGACGAAGCCAAACCAACGAGGAGGAGCAGGACGGGAGGCAGCAGCTCCCAGCCACCACCACCACCCCCGCCGCGTCCTCAGCTAAACGGATGGGGAGGGGAGCAGGACGGGAGGCAGTAGCTCCCAGCCACCACTAGCAGCTCCCAGCCACCACCACTACCCCCGCCGCGTCCTCAGCTAAACGGATGGGGAGGGGAGCAGGACGGGAGGCAGTAGCTCCCAGCCACCCACCGCATCCTCAGCTAAACAGACAGGGAGGGGAGCAGGACGGGAGGCAGGAGCTCCCAGCCTCCCCCCTGCCGCATCCTCAGCTAAATGGATGGGGAGGGGAGCAGGACGGGAAGCAGCAGCTCCCAGCCCCCCCCCCCGCTGCGTCCTCAGCTAAACGGATGGGGAGGGGAGCAGGACGGGAGGCAGCAGCTCCCAGCCGCCCCCCCACCACGCCCTCCCTCAGCTGAACGGGCGGGGAGGGGAGCAGGACGGGAGGCAGTTGTTCCAGTGGCGGCCACTGCAGCATGGTCGGGGTCCCCGCTGACCCTGGCCCGGCCCCCGTCGCATCCTCAGCCACTTCGCCATTGCAAGAGGGCGGCAAGGCCAGGGGCACCATGGGCGGCCATGCCAGCAATGAGGAGTGTCACTGCGGGGACGAGGGGGGTCCCGACCGCTGCTGGCCTCACAGCCCAAGGTCTCCTCCTGCAGCACCAAGGGCGGCAGTGGCAGCAGCTGCCGGAAGCGGCTGAGGAAGGTGTCACCAATGGGGCCAGGCGGTGGTATGGCAACCAGGCGAGCTTCATGGCTGACTGCTGCCCGGCCTGGGGAGACATGTGGCCGGCTTGGCTTCCCAGCGAGCGCTGCCCCTGCCGGCCGCCGGCCCAGCCATGACTGCCGCTCGGCCCAGGGAGACACATGGCCAGCTCGGCTTTCTAGGGAGCGCTGCCCCCACCGGCCGCCGGCCCAGCCATGACTGCCGCCCGGCCCAGGGCGACATGTGGCTGGCTCAGTTGCCCAGGGATCGGCCCGGAGACGGCCCAGGAAGCGATGCCCCAGCTGAGACTGCCGCCTGGAACAAGTAAGCTGGAAGGGCGCCACCTGCCCTGCGGCCGCTTCACAGCAGTGCTCCCTGGACTCAGAGCCCCCTCCCTCCCCCACCACTGACCCTCTGTCTCCGGCTCTGCTGCTGCTTGGTCAGTGGTCACGCCAGCTGAGCATCAGAGGGACTGCTCTCCCTCGGGGCCGCACTTTGTGGAAGGGCTGGCTCGCTCAGTGGAGGCTCAGGCAGGCCGCTCCCAGAGGGGATCTTGGGGCTTCCCTGCACAGCTCCCCAGCCACGTGCGCCTCAGATGGGGCCAGCCCGGGAAAGGGACTTCCTGGCCACCCTTCTCCTAGGAGGTGGGGCACCCGGGCGCAGGGCCAATCAGGAGCCCTGCGAGGGGGCAAGTCCACATGAGAGAGAGAGAACGAAAGTGCCTCTCTCTTTCCTTGTCTCTCTGAAAATGGTGGGAGGAGGCTCCGGAGCCGCAGGGGATGGCTCAAAGAGCCGCATGCGGCTCCGGAGCCACAGGTTGCCAACCCATGGCCTAGATCAGGGATGTCAAATTGCCAGCCCACGGGCCAGACGCGTCATCCGGAAGCCATGCCCACCCCATTGCCAGCAATGGCAAAACCATCCCGATACGTTGCGCGACGTCATGTGACATTGCAAGTTTGACATGTCTGGCCTAGACTCTTACTGGCAGAACATCATCAATTTATGAGAAATCCCTTGCATTGAATAGAAAAAAAAATGCCATGGTGTATCTTCACCTTCTTCTGTAAAGCATTTTCTGGATCTTACCAAATAATTTTCTTCAGTCTTTTCTGAAATGGCATACACCAACCAGTTTTCAGCACTGCTCAGACCAATTTCGGTTGGGCACTCTTCCTTAAAACTATAAGTTTTTAACAGCCATTGCTGTCTAGATCTACTTTTAGATTCTGCCTGCCATTATACCTATTCTATCAAAGTTCTAATTCTTCCCATTCTTCTGTCCTTACTTTTTAAGTAATTAACGTCAACCCAATAGTCCTTCTTCTTTCTACAGGAACATTTTCAACAGGAAATCTGTTCTATATTCAGCTTCTACTTACCTAGTCATGTAAAAAATGTTTTGAATGTCTGGGCAGATGCAAGAATATCCAGGAAAAGCCAACACTGAAAAAAGTGTTTATATTAATTACAGATAGTGTTTTCCAAATATGTTTTTTTTAAAAAAAATAGCCTTTGTTATTATTTTTAATAAATGAAAAAAATTTTGAACTGGAGAAATTTAGGTTCAGTCATTAAATCTTTTTGGTACCTATGATCAATTAGTATTTCTAAAGTAACTGAAGATTTTTAGAAGATAAAATGAGATCTGCAAACAACTAGAAGCAAACCAGGTCATAACTAGCAGTCAGCATGGATTTGTTAAAAACAGATCATGCCAAGCCAATCTGATCTCAAATGTAAGACATTTGACAAAGTGGACTACAACCTACTCCTCGGTAAGCTTGAAAAAGATGAAATAGACAACATCACCACCAGATGGATCTGTAACTGGCTGACAACCGTACTCAATGAGTAGTCCTCAATGGCACTACATCCACATGAAGTAATCAGTGGGGTACCACAAGGATCCGTCTTAGGGCCAATACTCTTCAATATCCTCATCAATGACAGATGAGGGAATTGAAGGGGAACTGATCAAATTTACAAATGACAGCAAACTATCAGGAACCAACACCCTAGAAGACAAACTCAGGATCCAAAAAGATCTTGATAAACTTGAACAATGGACCCTATGCAACAAAATGAGTTTCAATGTGGAGAAAAGCAAAGTCCTACACTTAGGCAAGAAAAACCAAAGGAACAAATACAGATAGGGCGAGACCTGGCTTGGAGGCAGTAACTGTGAGAGGGACCTTGGAGACCTGGGGGACTCCAAGCAGTGTGCAGCAGCAACCAAAAAAGCTAATACAATCTTGGGTTGTATAAACAGAGGCATAGAATCAAGATCACATGAAGTATTAATACCACTTTATAAAGCCCTAGTAAGACAATATCTCGAATACTGCAGCCAATTTTGATCACCATATCACAAAAAAGATGCTGAGAGACTGGAAAAAATTCATAGAAGAGCAACTAAGATGATCAAAGGCCTGGAGACCAAAACGTACAAAGAACAGCTGCAGAACTTGAGTTTGGATACTCTAAAGAAAAGAAGAAATAGGGGAGACATGATAGCAGTGTTCCAGTATCTGAAGGGCTGCCACAAGACAGAGGGGGACAGGTGTTCAACAGAGCACCAAAGGGAAGGACAAGAAACAATGGTTGGAAGCTGATCAAGGAGAAAAACAACTTGGAATTAAGGAGAAACTTCCTGACAGTGAGGATAATCAACCAATGGAACAGTTTACCCCCAGAAATTGTGGGCGCTCCATTGCTGGAAGTTTTTAAAAAGAGACTGGACAATCATCTGACTGAGATGATATAGGACATCTTGCTTGGCTGGACTAGAAGACCTCCAAGGTCCCTTCCAGCTCTATTCTGTTCCGTTCCATTCTATTCTATTCTGTTTCCCATTTATTTCATTGAGAGGAGAACTTCAACTGAGAATTATTACAAAAGAAGGCTTGGGTATATATCTTATATATCTGATAAGGTCTTCAGTATTAGACAAAATTGGGTTGCTCCATTTCTTCCTATTCCCCATCTATCGCTTCCAAGTGTGAGAGATTCCCAGTCTATGGAAATTCTCAGTCTCCAGGTGCTTTTTCAAGAGACAACTGAACTTTCTTGTTTTCTTTGAAGACATTTCGCTTCTCATCCAAGAAGCTTCTTCAGTTCTGACTGGCTAATGGGGAATAAAAGGATTTACATTCCTTGTAGACAGCTGGTCATTTGCATTCTTTTAGAGAGTCGTTGAGGCCACTTGGAGGTTTATCTGTGTCCTCAGGATCACTTGAGTAGTGCAAATGTGCGTGGAGCTTTTTTGGAACTGCTGAAAGGATTGTGTTGTAGATTGGAGATAGATGATGTCGTATCTCTCCCACTTTGTTGAGAGAGGGTTGTTCAGTTTTGACACAGATGGCCTCTTTTGAACCCAAGACTACACTAAGGCAGAAGCTTGCCCATCCAAGGATAAAACACCCAGACTGAGCAATGTGGTATATGCAGTACAATGCAGTAAGACATGTGTAGACATATTGGGGAAACAAAACAGCCACTTCATAAATACATGGCACAACATAGGAGAACAAACCCATCAGGACAAGATTCAGCAGTCCATCTGCATTTAAAAGACAAAGGCCACTCTTTTGAAGACAGCAAAGTCCACATTTTGGCAGGGAGGACCACTAGTTTGAAAGAGAGATCAAAGAGGCTATCTATGTCAAAACTGAATGGCTTCTCTCAACAGAGGGAGGGATACAACATCTATCTCCAATCTACAATACAGTCCTTTCAATAGTTCCAAGAAGGCTCCACATCCATTTGCACTACTCAGGTGACCTTGAGGACACAGATAAGTTTACAAATAGCTTCAACAGCTCTCTAAAAGAATGCAAATGACCAGCTGTCTACAAGGAATATAAATCCTTCCATTCAGCGGAGCTGAAGAAGCTTCTTGAATGAAAAGGAAAATGTCTTCAAAGAAAAACAAGAAAATCCAGTTTCCTTTTGAAAAAGCATCTTTGACACATCCAAGCGTGATACATTTTCTTGCATTGATGCACTTAATTAAAAACCTCCAGTCTTTAATAATGAAATGTTTTTAGCCAAGTTTTATACATTTCTATTTAGATAGTAAATACCATTACATTCCATTAGCTTACTTTTTCAATTTTTCAATAATTAGTTCAATCCAAAAGCCTTTTTAGCCCTGTACTCTATTCTCAACAAGGTCAGCAGCTACAATCATTTAGCAGGCAGCAAGATTTTACTTTGTGAAAGGTCTTCTATCTGTAATACCTAAATTATAGTATAAGTAGATAGTATAAGTAATAACTATACTGATGCAGAAAGCTGTAGCTATAGTCTAATTCATTGTTACCATTTAAATAGAAGCAAACTGTTCCTAAACACTCGCTTAACTTATTTTTTCTCATTTTTTAAATTTTCCATTTAACATTTAGATTTGATAAAGTGCATGATATATACGAAATTGGAATTGTTTACATTGCAGTGACATTTTAAAGTATTGTTTTTTAAATCAACTATCAATATTATGTATGGGTGTAAAATTTTCAAATAATTAAAATTTTGAATTATTTTTTTTAGGTGGCAGAGGAGTTGGGGTATTGCTCATCGATGTAGCCAGTTACATAGTCTAAGTCGCTTAGCACACCAGAGCCCAGAAGCACCTAAGAATGCTAAAGGTACATTTTCCTATTGCAATTTCCTTTAGTTGTAATTTCATTAAGAAAAATAATTCAGAATATTAAGCTAATATAAAGCATATTAACAGAGATCTATTAAAGCCGCCTGCTTTCCTTCAAGACATAATTAGAGTGCCATATTTGCCCTAAAGAAACTCAGTCTCTATGTACCTGTAAGCAGAGTTTCCTCGGCAGTTTATCTTAAATTCTAATAACTAAGAATATTCCTTACTATGATCTTAAGCTGTTTGTCTTAGTTAGAACACTTCCACATGGCACTATTTGTGCTTCTTATTTATACTACTAATTCCTCAGCAATGTTGATTGTTTTTCTCTTTTGCTAACTTTCAAACTTTGAAAATAGACAGAGAACCTCATGAGCTAGTTTCCTTCTAGTTAACCAACAGAGTACAAAAATAATTTCAATAATCTAACTTTTGGAACAGTGGCAGCTTATAGAATAAAAAATATATCTTTGCCCCTGCTCTATAGAGAAAGAGGGTTGAAATACTATTCTGTCTTCCCATCAGCCCATATTTTTATATATTATGTACACATTTGACTCATTTTGAAAAAAAAAATGTGTATTCAAGAAAGTTTCATTCTCTAGCTTACTTGTTCCCTTTTCTATGAAATGACCATTCCCGTATCCACCCTGATCTATGATAGTGATTACAAATTTCTCTTTCCAATAGGACAAACAGTGATATTTACAGACCGCTCAGGAATGAATGCAACAGGCTATGTTATGCTAGGAACAATGGACGTTCATCACCATTGGACCAAAGTAAGATTTGGAAACTGAGTTATTTTTTTTCTTGTAGTACTCAGCACATGAATCTGTCTGTCTGTCTCGCTCTATCTATCTATCTATCTATCTATCTATCTATCTATCTATCTATCATTTGCCTTATTTATTACCTGAGATTTTATGCATTATACGCTCTAGATCAGTGGTTCTCAACCTTTCTAATGCCATGACCCCATAATACAGTTCCCCATGTTGTGGTGACCCCCAATCACTTATACATCACTGGGTGCCAGGGGCGTGGCCAAAGAAAAGGGGGAAAAAAGGGCGGACAGCCTTGTTTGGCGACCCTTGTGAAATGGTCGTTCGACCCCAAATGGGGTCCTGACCCACAGGTTGAGAACCACTGCTCTAGATGGCTTTTATCTACCACAAAAATAGATAATCATTAAAACATAATCTCTCTTCTAAACAACCATCCCACTTGATAACTCTTCCATTCCAATGGCATTTCCTGCACAGAATGCTCTCTGAAATACTTATTTATAGAAAGCAAGAAAAATCACACCAAGTAGATGCATAAAATTGTCACTTAGAAATCTTAATAATAGATTGATAAATGAGTGTTTATCTTTACCATTTAATATGTAAAAAAATAAAATAAATGGAAACTGTGATTGAAATTACTTTCAATGTGTCTCTTAACCTGGTAAGGGGGGCAGTGTTGGGATGCATATATTCTCTGATTGGCTTTTGAACTCTTCCCTTGCTTCAAAGGAAAGCTGACATATGCATCAGCACTTTACTTAATTGCGAGTATAACTTCTCATGTTTCTGCACATTAATATTATTTGGGGCACAAATAATATAAGCGCTAAAATAGCAAATAGAGTATAGTAATACTAGTGTCCCCTGTGTGTATTGTTTATTTTGAAAAATTACACCAGCTTTCTCCAATAAGTTGCCAATGGATAGAAGTGAAAATTGTACAGCAAATTCTGGGCAAATTGTATTGAATATATAACAATGTTCATTATAGTAACAACTGAAAAACTGGTGTGTATATTTTTAAAAATTAGTTTAACGCTGAGGTATTATTTAAAATTGTTTAGTTTGGAGGATTGAAGGAGTGTTTAATCCTGTCGTGAACTTTTAAGAAAATGTTTCATTTTGTGCAGATTTTTGAGAGGTTGCCAAGTTACTCTACACTTCAAAAAAAAGTGCTGTTTCTAGAGGAGCGCATTAGCCAACTTTTGGGAGGCATACAAATAATTTATATTGAAGAGCTTCAACCAATGTTGACAATTGAAGAGTATTATTCTATTCTTGACAACTTTTATGATCAAGTACATAATAAGAGACTTCCATTTCACCCTAATAGTCTGCGTGGATTGCAAATGATTCTAGAAAGGTGTGTATCTAAAGAAGTAGATATTGTTTCCCAAGTTTATCTTTAATGGTAGTTATGTTATAGTCAGTTGGTTTTTCTGAAATACTTATGGCTAAGATCAGAGACCTTCTAGGGGTGGGGAAATGGGGGGAGAGTGCTCAAACATAAGGACATTTAATTTCTGCTGTTGGATATAGTTGCTGGAAAAGAGATCTGTGCAGGAAGCCACCTAATCTATTTAAAAGGCTGAATCTCATGCTTTGAGAATGGTCCAGTCTTCCCAGGCTGCTCTCGGAGTAGTATGTTCTAATTTATTTCCAGTCCTGAAGCATAATTTAGGAAAAAAACAATAACAACATTCTATTTTAATTCAGGAGATTGCCCCAAACTATTGTTTAAAAAAAACATGCTTGGTCATCTGTTTTTCTTTTCTCCAATTAATGTAGTTGCATCCTGACTCTTGGTGACAAGTCCCTGCAGTTCCCTTGATAAATTTTTTGAAAATGACTTTGCTATAACTTCTTCCTAAGGCTAAAAGTACCTAGGGATAAAAACACGAAGACAAAATCACCTGGCTGATTTACATGCGTAACATGGGATTAGAATGTACTATGGTATCTCAGATTCTAATCCAGCATCTTTAACACTATCCCAAACTATATCTCCTTTGACTGCATACATTATAGTCCTGCTGCTCCAGTTCTGTAAAGTGGTAATGAACTGGTCATTTGCGCAAGGAGAAAACATTTCAATCCAAATTACTTTTTTGGATTTCTTGCCACTGGTTTTTACAGTAGCAACTTCAGTGTCTTCCTAACTAACCAAAAACCTTTTTCTTAAATCTGACATCATGTCATAGATATATCATGCTACACAGTTCAGGCAGTAACCACCAGGGCATAATTCCCTTTCCCTGTCCAAAATATATTTTTATTTAAATTATCAGGATATCTTGATATTTTATTTAAGAGCAGGTTTTTTTTTCAAGATTGGACTATCTTACTTTTTTTAAATTGTGGACAAATGAATATTCCTGGCTTGTCTTGTTTTTGTATCCAAATTTTACTACTTGCTTCCAAAGTGTTTCCAGAATTTCCAATATCATTAATAGACTTGTCATTTTCCATTATTACTCAGTGTCTCCAGCTTGGAAGAGCAGTCTCTTTCTTTACCTCCTGCGATCTTGTCACCCATCCTTCATGCTGTGATTGAGATGACTGATTGTGGTCTGATTACAAAGATCTCTCTGAATAAAGACAGACCTTTCGATCACTGAAGCAATTGTTCTTCTTTCTTCCCTTCCCAACGTATCATTTTACATAAGCAGCAAACGTTTGGTTCTGTTTGATGAAGTTATTTGCAATAAAATGAAACTTCAGAACTTAACATCAGTACAAACTTAATGGAATTTTGAATCAGGACAAGGTTGATTAGTATAATATTTTTCACCCTCTTTAAATGGCAGCCTGATCATGGTATAGCTTCATTGGAAAGTATTCCTGCATCATCTTTTAGAGCAGTGGTTCTCAACCTGTGGGTCGGGACCCCATTTGGGGTCGAACAGCCATTTCACGGGGGTCGCCAAACAAGGCTGTCCGCCATTTTTTCCCCTTCTCTTTGGCCACGCCCCTGGCACCCAGTGATGTATAAGTGATTGGGGGTCACCACAACATGGGGAACTGTATTATGGGGTCGCGGCATTAGAAAGGTTGAGAACCACTGTTTTAGAGTGTTTCATGTGAAATGCTGTAGCTATAATAAGAAGGAAATTTTCTTTCCTATTTTTTTTCCCTTTTCTTTCTCTCTTTCTCCGTCACTCTCATTTTCTGTCACATATGCAACACATACCCGCATGCATGCACATACTGTTACTTCGATACTGTGCTAATCTAACTTTGATACTTTACATTCATTTGAAATCACAGGAGATCTCTGCTGTTATTCCCATTTTACCTAAAACTTTACATAAAGCTTTTTAATTTATGAGTAAGATCAGTCTTAATCTGGAACATCATATTTGTCACCTAGTTCACTATATCTATTTCCATTGCTTCATTTCCTATAAATGCATATCCATTATATTATTTCAGGTTAATTCTTTATGCTGATTCCCTGCTTCAGAAGGCTTATGTGCAAAGCAAAATATTTTTAAAGTGATATATTTGGAAAATATTCAAGCAGCAAGAAGTTCTAAAAGGAATACTTAGCATGTGATCCACAGAAATCAATTCAAGCCAGCTTCCCATTTTCAAAAAGAAATGCCTATTTTGTAGAACAAATGAATTGTATGTTAGCAGGCAGTTTTGTAGTTGGGGATAAATAGACTAATTAATTTTATTACAAGCTTGAAGACATATAATGTTAAAGGAATGGCTAGATCACAAGATACATTTTGAAAGACATGTATGTGTTGAAAATGGGCAGAGTTCTAGTTATATTAGGCTTTAAGAAATTCTTATTAATTTTCTGAGTATTACAAAATTATTATTATGAATGGGATATCTGTGACTATGATTCACTTGGTTTTAGGCACATCAGAATATTCATCAGAATATTAGAAATTTAAAGCTTTTTTAATAATAAATGTGTATGTTTCTATTCTTTTCTATGCTTGTTTAGATTATTTATTAGATTACTGTAAAGTGTATTTAATAAATGTCATTGGCTAATCAATCTGCATTTGTGACTGAATTTAGGAAAAGTCTTCAATAAATAAAGCTTCAGATTTCTTTATATGGATTTCTGTTGCAGAGCTTCTAAAAAGGATCATTTTAAAACCTTTTGGCATTTTATGTGCTGAATAATTATTTTAATTAAGTCTTTCCTGCCTCAGATCTTTTCTTAAAAAATAGAGCAATAAAAATCATTCACTTAAAATGAAGGAAGAACAGACTACAAATAAAAATTAATATAAATCAGTTAAAAATAATGCATTACCTATTTCTCTCTTATACAACACTCTTCAAACCACATTCTATAGACTGGAATAGCTAGCAATACAGAAACCTTACTAAATAATGGAATGGAACGGAATGGAATAGAATAACAGAGTTGGAAGGAAGCTTGGAGGTCTTCTAGTCCAACCCCTTGTTCAGGCAAGAAACCCTATACTATTTCAGACAACTAGTTGTCCAATCTCTTCTTTAAAACTTCCAGTGTTGGAGCATTCATAACTTCTGGAGGCAAGTTATTCCACTGTTTATTTGTTCTAAGTTACTTCTCTCCTTGATTAGTTTCCATCCATTACTTCTTGTTCTGCCCTCAGATACTTATCTCAACATCTTATTTACATCATGGTGACCAAAACTGGATGCAGAATTTCAAGTGTGGCCTTACCAAGACAGTATTACTTCATGTGATCTTGATTCTATCCCTCTGTTAATGGCAGCCTAGGAGTGTATTGGCTTTTTTGGCAGCTGCATCACACTGCTAGCTCATATTTAAGTGATCGTCCGCTAGGACTCCAAGTTCCCTCTTACATTTACTACTATTGAGCAAGGTACCATCTATACTGTACCTGTGCATTTGGTTTTTCTTGCCTAAATGTAGAACCACACTTTTTTCACCATTGAATTTAATCTTGTTGTGATTCTGTGCCAGCCTGTGCTCCCAACAGCTGAGTCGGAGGAATCTGAGGAGGAGGTGGAAGAGGCATTTGAAGGGCCATCAGAGCCAGAGGGAGGCTCTGAAGTACAGGACTCACAGTTGGATGCAGAGCCTGGTCCCTCCAGTCGTGTTTCTGATGAAGCTCAGCTGTGTGAGGAGCATGAGTCAGACTTGGAAAAATCACAACAGATGGACTTGCTAATTGACGCACGCAGACGGCGTCAATTAGCAAGAGTAAGTCAACAGAGGTCAATGAGGCACTTCCAAAGTAAGAAGAAACGGCAAGGAGAGGCATCGCCTTAGGACTGCTAAATAAAGGGAGGAGGTGTGGGTGGTGCTGGTTGCTGAAGGCAACCGTTTGAAAACTGCGTCTTGGAATCTTGGTCTGTGACTTCTCTTGTGACTTCGCGTCTGCTTTTCATCGTGTTCTTTTGGACTTGAGTTTGCTGTATTTGACAGGTTTGTCAACAAAATTAAAAGAGGTTTTTGTGTTTGTGTGCAAGTCTCCAGCCTATTGTAGTAGCAGGGGTTTTGTCCTTGTGAAATTAACAAGGACGACAATAGGCTGGGATAGAACACTTGTTAGATAGAGCCCAATTTTCAAGTCTGTCAAAAATCCTATTGTATCTTAAGCTATCTTCTGGAGTGTTGGCTATTCCTGCCAGTTTGCTGTCATCTGCAAATTTGATGAGTTCCCCAGCTATCCCCTCATCCAAATCATTGATGAAGATGTTGAAAAGTACTGGACCTAAAACAGAGCCTTGGCATACTCCACTGCATACTTCCCTTCGTGTAGATGCAGTTCCATTGAGGATTACATGTTGACTGCGATTGGTCAGCCAGTTACGAATCCATCTGGTGGTGATGCTGTCTTATCCATATTTTTCTATGCTGAGTTCTCCAAGTTCCACATGTTCTCCAGAGAGACACTGAGCTTTAAATCAGCCATAAAGTTCTCTTAGGATAATTATTTTCTCTTATTCCAGAAATAAACTCGTAGAACATAATTCTTTCTGTTAGGGTTACAAAATTATAGAACCATACAATTTTCTGCATGTCCTAAAATACACATGATATGAGATGAACCTCCATCCTCCACTTTATAATCTTCTAATATGCAAAGCAGACTTGGAAATTAGAAAGATTAAATGATAAATTCAAGAGACTGCTAACTATGAAATCAAAGCTGCTAATGTACTAGGTAAATAAGAATCTTTTAAAATATTAAATGTAAAATCTTGGGGTGTAACTTGTTTAATATTTTTAATTGAGTGGAGATTATATTGCTATATTATGTTAAATCATTGTTTATTTCACAAAATTTCTAAAGCTCATTTTCTTTTGAATTAAGCTTATTTGATATGAACATTACATAATTTGGATACAAATAGCAAGATCAACTTGTTTGTTCTATCTTTTATGCAGTGACAGATATGCACCACATCTTCATGAACTTGGTCACTTCATCATCCCGGTAGTGTGTGATCTAGTAGCTCTCCAGTGGTTTATCATGGACAAAACTCAACAAGCAAGAGAAAAACTGAAAAGAAAGGAAGAGTAAGTATTACTCAAAACAGACATTCCATTCTCGACTTGATAACTTGAGAGGTTCCAAGGCAACACTCCATAGTATGTGTAAATAAAAATAAATATTAGTCCACAAGATTCTATTGCACCCAGAAGTTTCTTATGCTATTGAGTCTTAACTTATGCAGTAGTGAACATACACTTAAATGTATGTACTTATTATGTAGATACGCATATATAAATCAGATTTTAAGGGAATAATAAACTTGAGATGTAATGTTAATTTAAATCAGTATTAGCAGTTGTTAAGCAAATCTCTCAAATTAATCATAAAATTAAATTTGAATTGGCAAAAAAATGTGGAATAGAAGACACTTGAGAAAGTACTTGAAAAGATATTTGTGAAATAACTTCAGCTACTATATATTTTCATATTCCTTTAAATTCGCCTTTGATAGAATATTGCAGATTATTTGCAGTTTGGAAAAGGGAAACTAGATATGAATTTTTTTTTCAGTAATTCCAAAAACTCATTTGGCATCTTCTTCTGTTTTTTATAATATTAAGCTGTGCATGGGATGTTTACAATTTCAGGTTCATACTGCTAGAAAAGAAGCTGATCAAGGCTACCACTGAGAAATTTTCTCTTCAACGGCTATATAAAGAACCCAGTGTTTCCAGTGCACAAATGATTCATTCATGCAGCAAGCTACTGGAAGAATCATTGCCATATTTGCAAGGTATGCATCTCTGCATTTCCCATTTCTTTTCTGTTCTTCAAGATGGAGACCTCTGCATCCCTTGGAACTGGAAAAATTGAGAGTAAATGATACTGTATTCGATGTAAAAGAGAACAAATGTTATTTATGCATTAGTATAAATTACTAAATTGAATATTTTCCAAAATAAATTATGAACAAAAATTCCATGCCAGGAATGGAATGCAAGGCATAGTATTTCCCTGGATTTTTCTCCTGAATAGTATTTCCATGGATTTTTGTCAGAATCTTGCAAAGTATTATATATGCACTTTTTTTTTTTGCAAGACAATATTTTTAAAGGGAGATGAATCTCTCCACTAAGTTGTATATGACTGGGTTTCAAGATTGTAATGAAACTATATAGTGGGAAATTAGGTACACAAACTTTGAATGTAATCCAAGAAGCACACAGGTGTGAATCTTACATGTGAAAAAATATATATTCCCATGTAATACATGAACATATGGTTTTCAGTATGCACAAATTGTGTTTGGAGAAGCATTCGCAGAATGAAAGATGGTAATTGAAATTATTCTGTGGTACAAATGTTCTCCTTGAAAATAAATATTTCTTCAGCACCCTAGTGATAAATATTATTGATATACTGTATTTATTTTGCAGAATTATTGTACATCTTGTTTCAGAAAATTTTATAAATGTCTGTTGAAATGTTTTGTCCATTAGATCTTGCACTTTATATTTTTTCATGTAAATAAAAGTAGTTCTGTATATAGTCAGTTCTTTCTGAACATGAATTTTAAGCATTTCTCCTTTTGATTAAAATAGTAATATGTGCTTCTTTATGGGCACCTCAGTAAATATTCCTGGATGGGACTTTTAGGTCAGTTTACCTCATGCCTATACAGAGTGTAGCCACTGGGCAGTCTATTAGCCTTGCTGCCATCCAGTCATATATTTTCACATCTGATCCAGGTTGATTAGCCCTGAGAAGCCTTCTGGGCAGCCCTCATATACTTACATGCTACTTCATCAGTAATGTAGACATATTTCCTTACAGAATCCATATGCCTGTATGGTTGATGTTGTATAAAAGGTACTTGAACAAAAATATTTTAGAACTCATTATGGCAGAGGAGAAAGCCATGTGTGCTAATTGGGGTCTTTTCCTGCTAGGCATGCAAGCTAGTGAGGAGGACCACCTTACATAAAAGTTCCCAGTGTTTGGGACTAGGGTTGGACCTATGGGAAAAAATAGCAAGCTGAGCACACATTTTATGATTTTTAGATAGGTCATTCTTTCCCAACTGAGTACTGTGTCTTTCAGACACAGACAATTAACATCCTAATTGAGGTTGATAGAAATTGTAGGCCACTCAGTTTTGCACTAAGTTGGGAAATGCTGACATATATGAATAACTCACAGGTGACCCAATTATGGCCCTGCAGATTTTTGCATTTCAGCTCCCATCAACCTCTGCTACCCTAGCCAATGTACAAAGGTGATAGGAATAAACATCTGCATTACCTAGAGGCCATAGATTGCTCATTCCTAGATAGTCATATGTATCAGATCGATAGCAATCTTACCAATTGATTTTGCTAGCATGAAAAGAGAACCAACAGCAATTGTTTGCTAAGAGATTGTGACATGCTTGTTCTTAACTGAGCTTATGTATGTCTTACCTAAAGAAGAGAGGCTTTATTAAAAGTCTGCAAACAAATTGAATTTGAATAGGCCACACTGTTTTGAATATTATTGAAGTAAAATGTTAAAGTTGTTTTAATTTTAATATTTTCAATAATTTCATAAAAATGCATTTTACAAGTTGTTTAAAATGGATGAATATCTTGATGCAACCTCTGAATAAAGACAAAAGAAAGACAGATGTTAGTATTAATTCCTAAAATGATGGAGTACATTTGTCCTAAGTAAAATCTGTTGATCTTGCAGATTCTGAAAAAAACAATCCTAAACTTTGGAATACATCTTTTATGGTTATCTGATGTTAATAATCTGAATCTTTACTGACCTGTGCCAAAATGTTTAAATCACTCATAATGAGATATCTATGTATTCTAAAAATAAAGCAGAATCTTAAAATCATATGAGTGAGTATGCTACTTTTTTTATGGCCGAATGATCTACAAGGAGAAAGCTCAGAAAATAAAGTAGCTAAATTTTACCAGAATTGGGTCACTAATAAAGGAAAATTAAGTCCTGAGTATTAATTGGCTCCAGTTTCAAGACACAGCTTCAGGTCAAAATTGCATCAAAATAATTTAAAATTATGAGTGGGATGTGCAATTATGCTCCATAACCTTTCTACAAAATGTGATATAGCAACGAGAATGATGCCACAACAAACATTATAAATTTATCTTTTTATTGAAACCAATAACATAACTTTCCACTCATTTATTGGTTTATCATGTAACATTTTCATGCTTTTTCACTCTGCATGAAATTCCACTGTTGTAATCTGGAGCCCAGTAGCTCTGCCTCACTCTTAGGCAATTCCAAATCCCTCACCAGGTCATTTAGTTCACTCAGAGAAATTAGATGTAGTTCAGGAGGAACTTACACTGGGCTAAAGTTTGGGTCTGCTGACATAGATCAGCTGCATCCTGCTTGTCGTCTTTATCATCCTCTGAGTCTAGAGCACGGGTTGGCAACCCGCGGCTCCGGAGCCGCATGCGGCTCTTTCTGCTGTCTCCTGTGGCTCCCTGTCCTCAGCCACCGTGTGCAGTCTGAAAAAAAAGTGGGACTGAAAAAGTTCAACCAATCAATTCAAACTTCTTATGAAGTTTGAATTAATTGGTTGAACTTCTTTGGTTTGTGGGACTGCCCACAAACCTCTTTTCTTCTTGGTGGCCGGGAGGATTGCTGGAAAGGTGTCCTTGAAAGGAGCCATGGGTGGCCGGTCCCGGGGTGCCTCTTCCCTGCCTGGCGAGTCTCCCTTGCCTCCCCTCGCCCTGCTGCGTGGTCCTCTTGGCCGTCCTCCAACTGCCGCTGCTGCCGGTCGCACTGAGCGAGGCCAAAGAGGTGGCAAGTGGGCAGCTGTGCCCCTTTGCTGTTCTGCCACTGCTGCCGCCCTTGGTGCTGCAGGAGAAAAAGACCTTGGGCTGCGAGGGCAGTGGGGCCATTGGCGGGTTGGACCCCCCTCATCCCTGCGGCGGCATTCCCCATTTCCAGCACGGCTGCCCATGGTGCACCCGGCCTTGGCGCCCTCCTCTTGGAATGGCGAAATGGCTGAGGACGTGGCAGGGGTGGCGGCTGGGCCGGGGGTGGTGGGGACCCCTGACAATGCTGCAGTGGCCGCTGGCGGAGCTGCTGCCTCCCCTCCCGCTCTCCCCGCCCGTTTGGCTGAGGACGCGGCCGGGACGGGGGACGGGTTGCCACCACTGGAGCCGCTGCCTCCCATCCTGCTCCCACTTTCCGCCCGTTCGGCTGAGGACGTGGCTGGGATGGTGGCTTCCTAGCCCCCCTCCTCCCCTTCTTCCTCCTGCTCCCAACGGACAGTTCGGGGGGGAGCAGCCGGGGTGGCAGAAGGTCTGGCCCGTGCCAGACCCTCGGTGCTGCAGGAGAAGAAGACCTTGGGCCGCAGCATTGCAGCCAGGGCCAGAGGCCTACACAGCACCAGCCTCCCCCGCAGCTACATTGGATGGGCGGAGGGTGAGGCCGGGCAGTGCGGAGTCCCACCTGGAGCAGCTTCCTCACCCTCCTCCTCCTCTTTCTGCTGCCCCCCGGGTGGCTTGGGCGAGCGCCAAGGCAAGAGGGGCACCCGGGGGGCCAGCTGGGCCAGCAGAGGGGCTAGCAGGGACCGGTGAAGCAGAGCAGCTGCAGCATTGCGGCCAGGGCCAGCAGCCCACATGGCACCAGCCCCCACCATGGCTACATCAGATCGGCGGAGGGCAAGGCCGGGCAGCGTGGAGTCCCGGTTGGGGCAGCAGCTTCCTCACCCTCCTCCCCTTCTTCCTGTTGCCAACGGGTGGCTCGGGCGGGTGCCGGGACAAGAGGGGTACCTGGGGGGCAGCAGCCGGGCCGGCGGAGGGGCTGGCAGTGGCTACATTGGATGGGTGGAGGATGAGCCTGGGCAGGGGCCAGCAGAGGGGCTAGCAGGGGCCAGTCAAGCAGAGCAGCTACAGCATTGTGGCCAGGGCCAGCAGCCCGCATGGCACCAGCCCCCACCATGGCTACATCAGATGGGCGGAGGGCGAGGCCGGGCAGTGTGGAGTCCCAGCTGGGGCGGCAGTGGCAGCTTCCTCACCCTCCTCCTCCCATTCTTCCTCCTGCTACCCCTCGGGCAGCAGTCCTGGCTGGAGCGGTGGCCGGCGCCAGCATCACTCCCTGGGCAGCCGAGCCAGCCTGGTCATCTCCACTGGCGGCGGCGCCATCTGGTGCTGTTTACACGGCCATTCGTCCAAGTGACTGAGCGGCACCCCGCTCAACTCTCGTTTCCCCAGACCATAATTGGGGCCACTACCTCTCTCAGTCACACTGACAAACGGCCATGTAAACAGCACCAGATGGCTCCACCACCGCCGCTGATGAGTTTGAAGGAGAGGCCGCCTGCTCTCATCTGTGCGGAGCAGAAATGCTGCTTCCTCGCCCTCCCAGCGAAAAAACCCGAGAGAGGTGGAAGACATCCTTTCTCCCACTTTCCGCTTCTCATCCTCTCTTTTCCGAGCACCCTTTCCAGAGCGAGCCAGAAGCCTCAACTCCAGCCTCCCGCAGCAGGCTGAGATAGGCGAGCCCGCAGCTCCTCCCCATCGGCCTCCTCCGCTCCCTGGCAATCTTCGCGCCAAAAGGCGGAAAGAAGAAAGTCCCAGAGAGGGAGAGCATGGGGTAGGGGGAGAGCAGTCTTTTCCAGGGGGAGGAGAAGTCAGGACGGAGCTGGACGGGGGGCAGAGCCAGTGCAAGTCTCGCCTTAGGCTCCACTCTTTAAATCAAGCCTCCTGTTCTGCACGCATTCGCGCGTGTGCATACATGCACACATTATGCGGCTCCCAGTTTTTTCTTTTGTGAGGAAAATGGGTCCAAGTGGCTCTTTCAGTGTTTCAGCTTGCCGATCCCTGGTCTAGAGAGTAGGATTCTGGTGGATCTGGAATTGGCAAATTCTCACTATGGGGTACAGGAGGCAGTGCAGATGGAATGTTTGGGTATTCCATGGACCACTTCTTTCTTGAGCTCCCTTTTGCAAAAATAGCAGTCACTACTTTGATTGGTGAGTTACCTCCACACCATTGGGACTGTGAAAGGCATGGACTTTTTCATCTTGTTTAGCCAATGGCGCAGATAAGTTGCACATGTAACACAACAATAATGAGGGTCCCAACTCTTGTCCTGATCCCCTCTTTTGCATTCAAAATATAGATGGTATGCTGTCAACTACTACATTTTTGAGATGCAGATGTTACCTCATCACAACTGTAGCAGAAGATATTTGCATTATTTACGCAGTTTCAAGGCATCTTGGCTTCTGAGAGAAAATATCATGCAACTGTTCCTTGGAAATGGTAGGCAATGACACTTTCACAAGTCACCAGGTGTAACTATATGATGCATAGATCTGACCAAGACAAATGTGCCTTACCAAATTACAGTTAGGTAATAATCTTTAGTCTCAAAGTGAATATAAATTTATACACTTCTACATGGATACCATTTTCATTGTTCTACCATACCTTGTCAAGAAGTTATAAGGCATGATGATTAGACATCTCCCTTCCTTGTAGGCAAATATACTCACCTGTGTATAAATCTTTATTGTGAAATCTTGAAAACTTTAGCCAACCAGCACCCTTACCACCTGTTTTCTAATTCATCTAATCAAAATTTGTAAGAATTAACACATTTTATCTTGGAGGTCGATAATTTCACAAAGTTTATAGACCCAGTAGTGAAGATAGATTATAAAAGTCTTCATTGTGCAGTTTGCCAAACATGCTTGTTTCCTAGCAGAGACTGAGTAATTCTATTTAGTTTGCCATGTTCCAGACTGGCAACAATAAAAATTGCAGAAAAAAAAGGGGGGATTTGTCAGGTACTTCCTTGCCATTCACACACTCCCTTACCTCCTCTCCCACCCGGCACTAGCCACTTACTTATCTGCTGGGAAGGAGGAGGGAAAGGGGAGAATGGAAAAGAAGGGGGGAAGGACACAAGCAAGGAAGGAAACATGGAAGGAAGAGGATGGAGGAAAGGAAGGAAGGAAGGAGGAAGTGGGAGACAGAAAGAAAGAAAGGCAGAAGGAAGAAGAGAAAGACTAGAAGGAAGAAGAAAGGTACATGGATTCTGGGCTGCATTATGGCAAATAATAATTTCATAATGACAGCTTATTTCACAAAATATGCTGTAGTGTATTAGAAAAGGAAGATAATAACTGGATTTCCATCTTCACAATCTGAGAAAGCTCAAAACCCAACTGGTTTAAGAATTCTGTTATGTTATTCCTGGCCTTATCAGAAGAGGGCGAACTTTCCAAAAGAATCCTGGAAGAAATCCCAGGTAGGGTAACATTGCAAAGTACAGCTCTGGCTGGAAAAGACTCATAGGTGGAGTCCAGTCCTCCTTCCTGTACTGTCGTGCCATGTTTCTTGCTGCCTCATCTTCTGAAAATAAACCTTAAGGTATTGATATAACTATCTAATTTTCTTAGAGAACAAAATTGTTGATAGTGCCATTTTCAGGGTGCGTAGGTTGGTAGTTAATTTTGCATTAATATTTTTTTAATTATTGTGTTCTTATGGCTGCTAAAACATTCAAAAAAGATAAGTGTGTACTATTTTAATGCCTATCAGTGTTTAATAAAATAATTTTATCTTACAGCTGCAGATTATTGGAGCTAAGAAGTCAAAACCTAATTTTTTATGGTGTGTAGATTGTATTATGTTGTAGCATTCCAGTCATCATGTTCCTATGGAAAACAATTGTTTCATATAATCTTTTAGTGATCTCAAAGCTAGAAGAGCTCATACATAATGAAAAGCAAGGATGTGGTAAACAGATATCCTGCTGATTTGGTATTCTCAGCAAAGAAAATGGAAACTGTTACTGGGAGATATTTTTAGGATAGCTTTTATTAAAAAGCTGAGCTTAGATAT